CCAGGCCTCTGTGTCCTGAAAAGATGACATTCCTGCACCAAACAAGCTGTGTATGGCTTGTGGAAACATAGGGAAAATTTCTAAAAGAGGAGAAATTCCTCTGTGCTTTACCCTACCATTTAATAGCCAACATGCCCTCATAACAGCCATCCACCACTGCAGCTCATCCACACCAAAATACACTGAGTTCCACCTCAGCTTCTAGGCTTGTAGCTACTAAACAGCTTTACTTGCAGCCTCACCACCAGTTTAGGGCAAGGGAAGCCAACTCGCTATGTTTCTCTTGAAGCTACTGAGGCTCCATTTTACTTTAAGTACAAGGCATCTCATAGAAGAACATACAAATATGATACCAGTAACACAATCACCGTGATTTGTGTGAGGTTACACTAAAACCCAGCCTCCCTTCCCCACCCACAAAACACATTCACATATTTTAATTCATTAGGAACCTCATCTAGGAGTCCTGACCTCTCAGGATTTAGCAAATTGCTTATGGAACAGAGAATGTTAGCCTCAGTTGTGCAGTTATGACCAAGGTTCTTCTGACTAGTTCCCACAGGGCAACTCAACTGACACGTTGTGTTTGCTTTTTGAGGAGGCATCTGCTCGGTGTTGACTATGGCACAGAGACGTCACTCAAGACTTACCCAAGACCGCGCAGTGAATCACTGGTTCAGAAAAGATTAACATCGATCCAGAGAGACTCCTTGTACTTACTGCCTCTTGTGGCTCCAGTTAAGGTCCAGAATTTTGGGGCTTGATCCTCATCTGCAGCAATTCCTAGCTGCTGTTGCAATGGTAAAAATTAAAGGAGGAAGTGGTACTTTTTTATATTTTTGGAGGAGATTTGGAGTTATATTTTGCTTCCATTCCCTATTGGAATGCAAGTTCTTCCTGCATACAGAAATCTAAAGTAAACAAGTGCAGCGAACATTCTCATGAAAAAGGCACATTTAAAATGGATTGGTCATCACAGGCCTCTTCAAAAAGGGCCTTCAGATTAAAGATTCCACCTCTGCTAAATATGAGATCAGGCTTAAGGTCCTCAAATTTGCATTGCTATCATCTCCTCCCTTTGGTAATGGCTCAAAATATACTTTTATAGTGGGTTGTTACTGTGGAATCCTGTAGGATTTTGTTTTAATAAGGACTCTTGGGATGGGAGTATGATCTTGTGATTAGAGTGGGGAGGCTGTGGAGGGAGGGCTCCTGGGTTCTACTTGCAACTATGGGATGCATCTTGTGTGTTAAAAGCACAGGAATCTGGGAGTCAGGACTCCCGAGTTCTATTCCTGGGTCTGGGAATACAGTGGGACCCTATTAGGATAGAGCACGGAGGACTGGGAGCTGGAATTCCTAGTTTCTGTTCCCAGCTTATACTCTGTCTTGCTGTGTCACCTTTGGCAAGTCCTTTTCTCATTGGTCCTTGTTTCCTCATCTGTAAAATAGAACTAACGATACTCATCAGGGACTGAATTAAGGCATAAGCATTACAGATGTGTACCTGGGGCCCTGGCTCCTGGAGTCATATGGTGACAGAGTCTAAGCTTCAATGCAAAAATAGTTTCTAGCCTTCATAACTGTGACAAAACCCATGGAAATGAGGCCTGTGCCTAACCAATGCAGTGATGTATGACTAGGTTTGCAGATAGCCTGAAATAAGAGCTCTACAAGGCAAGAGCTGCCCCTTTCATCTTACTAAGGTCAGCAAGTTGTTATTACCCCAGTGGCATGGGACCTTGCTGCTGCCACCCCCTCATAACTCTCTGGGGTGATGTTGGCTGGCAGGAGATCTGCTACCACTTCTCCTTGGGTAGGTTGGGGCTTTCCTGATCATCAGATCATTATTCCCTGACTTCAGACAGGCTGGGACCCCTACCAGAAGAGGGAGGAATCAGCCTCCACCCACCCATAGTCCTCTGCTTAAGTGCGTGGAGGCTGATTCCTCCCTCTTCTGGTAGGGGTCCCAGCCTGTCTGAACTCAGGGAATAATGATCTGATGATCGGGAAATCCCCAACCTACCCAAAGAGAAGTGGTAGCAGATCTCCTGCCAGCCAACTAGATGCCTCATATATTGGTGGCTGGGCCCCAATCACTGCTTCTCCAAGTAATGGTGGGACAACATTGTGGGAATGGGGCCACAAGCTGCTCTATGTGGAGTGGTGGGGCAACAATCTTCTTGGCTTACATGTATGAGCATAAATCTTTGCAGGTCCAGAGCCTTAGACTGTAAACTCTTTGGGACGGGGATTGTTTTACGTGTCTAGTACCATCATACACAGCTATGGTGCTATATACAATGTTACTGATGACAGCATTTTAGGAATGAAAGTGAAGAATACCTATCTAATTGAAACAGCAAGAGAATTTAGAGAGAGCCCACCTAACTGCTTAAACTAAACTCTGACTGTGGCACCAGGGCTAACACCTTTAATCTTGCAGAACGTGCCCTAACTTTAATGACCCCAGTAGTTTGCACCTTGACTTTAGATCTCATTTTAAGAGATCTCCAGCACTCCCTAACATCATGTTTGGGTTCAAGCCTGACTCATTGTTAAGAAGAGCACTCACTAAAATCAACACTAGCACTTCACACTGCATCTTAGGATCTTCCTGGAGGCTTTCTAGCCAAGTACCAATCAAATCCAATGCTGCTTAGCATTATAAAATTCTAACAAGACCATAACAAAAGCATTGCTAAACAATCTTTTTGTTTCAGAGTAATAGCCGTGTTAGTCTGTATTCGCAAAAAGAAAAGGAGTACTTGTGGCACCTTAGAGACTAACCAATTTATTTGAGCATGAGCTTTCGTGAGCTACAGCTATTACCAGCTATTACCAGCAGGAGAGTGAGTTTGGGAGGGGGGGGGGGCAGAGGGTGAGAAAACCTGGATTTGTGCTGGAAATGGCCCAACTTGATGATCACTTTAGATAAGCTATTACCAGCAGGACAGTGGGGTGGGAGGAGGTATTGTTTCATGGTCTCTGTGTGTATATAATGTCTTCTGCAGTTTCCACGGTATGCATCCGATGAAGTGAGCTGTAGCTCATGAAAGCTCATGCTCAAATAAATTGGTTAGTCTCTAAGGTGCCACAAGTACTCCTTTTCTTTTTGTTAACTTGACTATCGTTTATGTTTACCCTCTTTAAGGAAAGTTTTTGATGTGAGAGGTTTAGACATTTGCCAGTGGCAGGGTTTTTTTTGTTTAAACCAGATATTTTTTTCTCCCTTTGCTATTTACAAAGACTTCAGCCTATTCTGCCCTCAAGGAATAAAACAGCTTCACAATCAAAACTCCAAATGACAATAAAGTTAACTTTGCTGCTTTTGAACAGACATCTGCTTGCAATGTATACACTGCCAAATAAATTGCTCCAGGTTAGTTACATGTAGTTTTACAACCCTCAAGTCTTTTCCTTCCTGCTTGTCTTTCCCAACAGCCCCTCTATTAAAATACACCAACATATTCAGACAATAAATATCCCACTAATCAGCTCAACATACAGTATTCATAAATTACAGCAGGCACCTGGGGAAGTAAATGCTATATTTGCCAAACACCTTCCATAAAAGACTGTCCCTCTCTGTTTGCCTATTTAAATGAATTCTTGCTACCCTTTTTAGGTCTTAACATCTTGATGTCCTTTCTGTTGTACCACATGGCATACCACACTTGAACCCTATGGTCTAAATGTGTTCCAACAATTCTATACTATGTAAGGACAAATTAATGAAAGCTAATCATCTCTGGCATACTGTAGGTATTTAGGAGCTGAAGTGGGAATTGTCCCGTAACAGAAAGGAAGAGCATCCTCTTTAAGAAAAAAAAAAGAAAGAAAAGAAAATACACATGAGAAAAAAAGACAAAATACTACCAGAGAGAGTATAAGGAAAGAATATTTGTAATATAACTTCTTTATTACCAAACTGGAAGGAGTAACCAAGAAGAAAACTTAGATGTATACAGTGAATCACAGGTAAAAGTCATTTAGATTTCTTCAGGTTTTCGCCTCAAAAACTATGTCCACAAAACAGCAGGAACCCTAATCCTTCTCAATTGGAAGGCAAGTTATACAATTTGTTTTTTAATATAGACTTTTATCAATAGACAGAAAATCCATGTATATAAACAATGGTGTATTATAAAAGACAATTTAAGAATACAGATCCATGGATAACATTGTTTGTTAGGATTCTTTTGATATATAAATATAGAAGACTTTGGAAACGTTGATATTAGCATGTAAAACACAAGTAAATAGAACTGTTTCTCTGGCATGACTCAAAAAATGTAACCATAACTTAAGACTTCATTATATCTCTGATTTCTTGAACTTTAACTTAAGTCCTCAGTTTCCTCAACTACACATGCATTCACTAAATAATATTTAGCTCTTATACTGTGCTTTTCATCTGTAGATCTCAAATTACTTTACAAAGATGGATAAGTATCTTTGTTCCCATTTTACAAGTGGGGAAACTGAGGCACAGAGCATTGCTGTGACTTCCTTCAAGGTCACACAGCCCATCAGTGGTAGTGCTGGGAACTAGGTTTCCAGTCTGGTGCCATATCCATTGCTCCATGCTAACTCCCCTCAAAATCCAGTAATATCTATACACAACAGGCATGCCTTTATCTCTTTAGCAATGGAGTGAGTAAAGACACTTCCTCAGTATGCTCAGTAGAGTCCCCTGGAGATTGCCAGCATTCCTACAATTGCCATATGTATGGTAACTGAACTAGAAAAGGCTACGTATAGGCTTTGTGTTAAGGCTGGGAATGCTTTACGATAGGTTTTACAGCCACCATAGATGACTGATTTAATGGCTCAGACTGCATTTGGTCTAATAGTCCATTAAGTACAATTCTGCTTTTTCACATTTTAAATGTATTAATTCTACTGTGCACAATTCAACACAAAATCTAAATCCTTCCTGTATAGACTAAGTGTTGAAGATTCAATGTATGCCTGTCATATGACTGTTCTGTATGGAGAAGGGAGTCCACATCAGAATCTGTATAACTGCAATGCAAAGTGGAACCAGACAGATCAAATAGAACATAGCATCATGAAGACCTAAAAACAAACTGGAAAAGAAGGTAAAAATGTCAGTTTTCCCAAGATGCAGTTTTCACCCCGTTTAATCAATTCTTAATAGATTAAAAAAATAGTTCTGATTATTCAGCACAGTCAATTTTAAAAGGAAGTATATAGCAGGTTTACTTTGGAAGAAAAAACATGAAAATAACCATATGGATTCTTGTGAGTAAGGAATAAAAATCCCCATGTTTTTCTGTATTTTACCAAAAGCTCAATGTATAGATATTCAGCTTGTTTGATTCTGATTAAACAAGCTTTATTAAAAGTAGCATATAAATACAAATTGTGGATGAAAATAACCCAATGTTTTTGTATCCCCAGCTTCATAGTGGGAATATGGTTTCTCACTATTCACAAACATAAAAGCTATTCCCAAATAGAATCAGAAAATTAGAGTTGAATGTATGTACTGCTCTATCATTCCCTTAAACTTATTTATGCCCCCTGCTCCCCCAACACGAGGTAGTTTGTAGAAAATAAGCTATTAATAAATGAGCTGAGTTAGGTAAGTAGGGTGCATATTAATATGCTATAGACAAGCTAACAGACCCGTTAAGTAATCTATTACACAACGGTGGTAGGTAATATAAAAATTAGTATAAAACAATATCACCTTACAGAGCAGGAACTCCTATAAAGTTTTGTATGATTAAAGATTTTTTTAAAGGGAATGAATAAAAGAATGGGAGAAAGTGGAAAATACAACAATATGGACATATTGGTATTTTTAAAAGTTAAAAATCTGAGACATTAACTATGTATAATGTACTTATGGCTGGTAAATGTTATGAACAAGTCACGATTAATGCATGGAACTCAATGCATTTACCAAAATATTAAGATTAATTCAGTTTTATTATTTTTTAGGGGAAAATAAAGAATTAAACCATCCATATATATTACATGTTAAAGGTACATTGAGATTCTGGCTTCTGCATCCTTAAACGTGCAAAGATACTTCCTAATCTAAAGCTCTATTAAGGAGTAATACATAAAGAAGCAGATCAACAACTATGTATTACAAATTATAATATATAATTAAAATAACTGCTTTATGAACAGGCTGGTTTCTGACAGCTTGAAACACATCTAGGCATTTGTCTAGCAGCTGTGATAATTATCCACTGGCAATCTGTTAATTATTGGATTCTAATTAAGAAATATCAAGAAACTGAACTCAAGGTGAGACAGTCTCTGAAAAAATTCTTCAGTCTCCAAGAAGAAGAGTACGTTATTTTCTCTTTTTCCTTAGCACTGTGAGATGTGATGGGAGACTAACAGAATGGTTGTGAAAGTTTAGAGACTAACCAATTTATTCACGAAAGCTCATGCTCAAATAAATTGGTTAGTCTCTAAGGTGCCACAAGTACTCCTTTTCTTTTTGCGAATACAGACTAACACGGCTGTTCCTCTGAAACCTGTCGTTGTGAAAGTTGACTACTATGGGCCTCATCCGTAGCTGATTGAAGTCAGTGGAAAAACTTCCATTAACTTCACTGGGCTTTGGATCAAACCCTATGAGTCAATCAAAAAAGGCCGAATCCAGGCCTCATTGACTTCAATGGAACCAGGATTTGGTCCTAAATGTATAACACAATACAATCACAGTTTATTCCAAGTTAAACAATTGTTTTAAATAAATTGTGCACATGTTAATACCAAGTGACAAAGACAAGGCACAAGCTTAAAAATTAAAGTAGTACTAAGGGAATTACTTAACTGCTTAGACAATTGGTTACAGGAGATGGGACTTTTCACAGGTAGGTCAGTGGTTCATATTCAGTATTTACTGTTAGTGATCACAATTTAGCATCTGATAGTTATTTACTGGCCTGGGTTCAATGGTGCTTTCCATTTCCAAGTAAACAAGTATATGCATCACAAAAACTACCACCATGGTTGGCATTAATTAGCCCTCTTGTTGGCAGTTCCAGCAGAGAATCCAAGAACTGAATGGGTAAACTATTTACCTATATAAAGTTCCTTCAGGAAGGGGCTAAGGCAAATTTGGCAGGGTGCTATAGTGAAGCTACACAGTTTTTGCCTGCATTTTACCTTTCTGTATATTAAAGAGGACTGCAATTTTCAGTATTAAGAATGTCAACCTTTAACAAGTATTTTACCTTTTTCTAAAGGAAAGAAAAAGATTGTGCCAAGTCCTACCTTACCTTTGTACTGATGATATCTTGCTTTGGTTTAAATACAATTGCACTGATTTAACAAAAGAATATGGATTAATATTTTATTCTAAAACTTGACATTTACAGGAATTATGAAAAGTAAAATAGGTGTATTATACAGAAAAATGAACAAATATTAAATATAATTCTATTGAGGCATTGGGATATATCAAGAACAATGCTCAAATTACATCACAGTGGTGGAGAAGACGCCTTAAAAATCTTTAATTATTTTGTGCATGCAGTACAAAGATGCATATATTCAAAGACACGCTCTTGCTAAAATATAGTTCCTCACTATATCCAGCACATTGTTTACCCTGCTACTAGATCATGTGATATTTCCAACTGTCAGATGCACTGATAGCTTATTTATTGTGCACCATCTATATATTGTGCATCTATTTATAATCTGGTAATTTGTTTCTAAATACAAGGAAATAATAATAATAAAGAGGGCAACAAACTACTGCCAGTGTGTTTTATCAGTATGATTGACTGTAATTTCAGTGGATCTCCAGGAGAGGGAGGTTTAAAACTATATATTTCTTATAGAGCAGAAAAAGGGATCTAATGTTCTAGGGAAAACTATTTAGGATAAACCAAAAGGAACAAAAATTGACCCTCCAATCCTGTAAATTACCAGCCACATTTTCATTAGTACAGTACTATATATATAAAAAAACCCAACATGTAAATTGGTTTCCCTTGATAAAAGCTTTACTGATGCCTGACAATGAAATCCCTTGGGACCCATGTACAATATACAGAGTAGCATTTTTCTTCAGCGATAACAATGATTAACACTGAATGAGACAAGTGAAGCGTCCTTAACAATAAAGGCTTAATAAACAGAAGAGAATTCCTCCAGTGTGCCATGTGTAAAAGTCATTTGTCTCCTGTCTGAATGACTAGTTCTTAAATTGATTTTAATTAGATACATTAACACTAAACACCATTTGATAGACAAAATGTTACTGCCAAAATCATCTTCCCCTCCCATTGTTGTCATCATGTAGCTACCCTCCTCAAATCTATGTGCTGATTTCTCATCATCATCTTTTACATAAAATTAAAATTTCTCCCTTGCACTTTCGAAACTCTGTACAACACCTTCACTGCCTACATTTCAGCCTTCATTTTCTCAAACTGCTATGCTTCTCCCAAGCCACCCACCTTAAATAGCCCATATGTACCTTACCTTCCCATTCATTTCTATGCCTCTTCCATGCCACTCCCTCTTGCAACTCTCTTCCTATCCTCATGTACCAAATGACTATAGTCGTAATTCAAATCCCTCCCTAAAACACACATCCACCAAGCCTGTCAATGAGAACAATTCATTGTAGTCAGTAGTATGAATCCACATAAAAAAAATATTCACAGTCATTGATCCTCAAGTATAGTGTGTGCTTGGAATGTTCTCTATGTGTATTCAACTGGAAGCTCTTTGGGGCAGGGACTGTGTTTTCCTGTATGCTTTAACAATGTTCAATAAATAATCATTTGGGCCCAATTGTACAAATCCTTGCTGAAGTGAGCAATCCTTGTTCATGCATGTAATTCAGTGGGTTCAATATGACTCTTTGTATGACTAAAGGTTTGAAAGCTCAGACCTTAATACTGTTATAGCTCAGTGGTTTGAGCATTGGCCTGCTAAACCCAAGGTTGTGAGTTCAATCCTTGAGGGGGCCATTTAGGGATCTGGGGCAAAAATTGGGGATTGGTCCTGCTTTGAGCAAGAGGTTGGACTAGATGACCTCCTGAGGTCCCTTCCAACCCTGATATTCTATGATCCTATGACTCTTGATTCCTATATGGAAACCTCCCTTAGCACTAAGTCAATACGTTTACTGTATCACAATATGGCAGATATTACTTTAAAACTCGTCTTAAAAGTTAAAGTTCATAGGATTACGCCCTCAGGCATAAATTATGAAAAACAAAGTTACATATGGGATATTTTATTTCTTTAAAGGGACAGGTGATTTGAAATAGAGTTATTTAGAAAAAAGTGAAAAGTGGTTTCAGGTATTACACCTGCTAATGGCTTATGGTTTTAAATTCACATTTTCTTTTTAAAATTTTCCTTTCCCCTGTTGCTGTCTGAAAGATTTACACAAATAAACAAATTTGTTTATGTGTACAGTGGAAACTGTGAAAGGGGGGAAAATCAAGAAAAATATTTTTTGCTAACCTTTCAGTAATAGTCATCGTAGATGTTATTTGTAACAATAATAAGTAAAATATAACGGAAAGTAGTGAGTTTTTTAGCTTGATTGTAGGCCTATCAGTGTTTTTAAAACGACAGGATATCAGTTATGATTATTCCCTGATAAAAATGTTCCTATTCTGCTGCATAGTATACATTCAGATTCTGAACTGTGAACAACAAGTGTTAAACTGAGGTATTTTCTATTATTAGAGATTGGACTGGTAGCACTGCCTACTATTAAGATTGCTTGACACTTCCAATTATAAGACTCCATTTTTGGTTGCCTATCACTTTACCAAACTAACTGTTCAAGCTGAAATTTTACATGCCAGGGGTCTGCCTGAGTCAAAAAAAAATTTTTTTTTGATGTTTAGTTCCACAATTTGTTTATTTTTGTTCACAACTTTTGTTTACTTCCCTGAGGCATGGGCTAGGATTTATAGGAAGACATGTGTTTTAATGAGAAACATAAAGCAAGAGAGGATAAAGACACAGTAGAATGGGTTGGTTCGCTAATAATTTCCTTCATTCATTCCAGACCACCTTAGAATATATCAAAAAGATACAGAAATTGTCTAAGTCAGTGGTGAGGGCTCCGGCTGGGGTTGTAGCCTTTGGGGTGGGGCTGGGGATGAGAGACTTGGGGTGCAGGAGGGTGCTCTGGGCTAGGATTGAGGGGTTTGGAAGGTGGGAGGGGGATCAGGGCTGGGACAGGGGGTTGGGGCCCGGGAGGGACTCAGGAGTGCAGACTCTGGGCAGTGCTTACCTCAAGCAGCTCCCAGAAGCAGCGGCATGTCCTCCCTCTGGCTCCTAAGTGGAGGTGTGGCTAGGTGGCTCTGCATGCTGCGCTGCCCCTACAGCTCCCATTGGTCGCAGTTCCCAGCCAATGGGAGCTCCAGGGGCAGCGCTTGGGGCGGGGGCAGCATGTGGAGCCCCCTGGCTGCTCCTACACATAGGAGGAGCCGGAGGGGGGACATGCCACTGCTTCTGGGAGCTGTGGCACACGCGTGGAGCGGTCCATGAACCTTCTCCCCAGCTGGAGCACGGGAGTGGGGCAAGCCCCAGACCCCACTCCCCAGCAGGAGATCCCGGGCTGGATTAAATTGGCTGGCTGGCTGGATGTGGCCCGCGGACCGTAGTTTGCCCACCCCTGCCCTAAGTACTTTTCACTTTACTGACGCTGCTTTTCTGAATGGCCCCAGCTTGTCCTCCTTCCAAACCTACCTCTATGCCTTTCTTCTACAGTCCATTAGGGTCATGAAGAGGATTCCAGACACATCTGCCAAATCTCCACTCTCTTTTCCTTAAAGGCCCTTCCCCAAGGAGGTTTTATAAATGATTGTCCTCTCTGTATTTTTTAAGAATTTTCTTTAATTAAAGCAAAATTTTAGGAAGTAACTAAGATAAGGCCATTAAGATAAGAATGGGAAACTGTACTCTAACCAAAGTGATTTACCTAGTTGAGCCAAACCCCTCTTCCTCCTATAATTGTATCGTTTCTCTCAAAAACAAAATACATTAGTCACAGTCCTACTGTACTAAATATGTCTAGTAACTATATTTATGAAATAAATACACTTTTGTGGTTTTGGTAATAGTTATAGTCAAAGTTGGAACATCACAGGTTTGACTGTTTTTTAATTTTGCACAACAGAATGACAAAAACAATCATACACTGAAATGAATTTTTCACACACCCACAAATGCACGCACACCCACCATGTGGCAAGTTTTCCCATGTCTTCTCTTTAAAAAGTACATTTTTCAGACTAAATATCTACTGGGACAGCCTTTTTATGTCAGTGAGATGAGGACCAATTGAAAATTTATTGAAGCAAAGTCGCAACACATCTGATGCAAGCTAACTGCATATTAATTTGTAATAATTGTATAACATTATTTAACTTGTTGTGACTTAAAACTTCACTTTTGAACTCACCTTGGATCAGGCTGAGAAAATTTATTATTCAGGTTCTCATATCCAAATTGATTTAGTATTGTAACCACAAGCATAGGAGCCAAAGACTGGGCTGGCTTAGTAAATAAAGCATTGGTACCAAAAACCATGGAGGAAAGTGGTGATCTGAAATATTCAAGACACGTATTAATCCATATTACATAGTATATAAATATACATCACTTACAGCACTTATTATATTCATTATTTAAGTACTGTTCAGACTCAAATATTAACCATCAGGATACATAACTGCATAAATACCATCAACATTCTAGTCAGTGAATGATCCAGATATCATAATGAAATGACTACATTCCAGTTAGATAAGTAGTTTTTTTTAAAAAAAAAATCTATAAACATACCTTTTATACTATCTTAGGTCCCCACAACTACCTTACTTGACCATAAATAAAAGAATCAGGGATCTAATAGAACAGTGTCAAAGGGCCTAATCCAAAACCCGCTGAAGCTAACTGAAGGATTCACATGGACTTCAATGGGCTTTGGATCAGGCCCATAGTCTGGTGATTCAAGAGTTGCGACTGCATACAATTAACAAGGAAAAGAGAAAAATAGGATAGACTTATATTTGTAAAAGACGTGATTTGGTACTAGAAACTGATTTATTCAAGTGCTCTTCATGTATTAAGTGTTCTTCAAACAAAGCAATCTGATTGTTATTCAGAATAATTTCAAGTCTTGTATATGGACTGGGGGAATGTCGTATCAAAAATATTTTTAAATTGTAAATTACACCACTTCACCTTCAAGTTACTGAAGAAAATTCAATGTACCACTTATGAGATTTGGTCTACATAGACACTGACTGCAATCCTGCAAGGACTTATACCCAGGTTCAATTTTATGCATTGGAATAGTCCCACTGAAGCTAATAGAACTATTCACAGGTATAAAGTAATATACGTGCTCTAGTCTTCGCAGGATTTGCCCTTAGAGGGAGCCTGATTCTCCTTCTCCCGCTCAAATAGCACTGAAACCAGAAACCCCACTGGTATAGAAATCAGTATATTTGTGAGAGCAACAGGAAGTCAATTGCACTTTGATATAAATCAAAAAGATACATGAATCACAGTACAGCATATCACAGCAAGTTTTATCAATTTTTATTTAAAAAATTGAACGGCAGCTACACAGACTTTGAATTTTGCTTGTTAAATGGTATAGTTCAAACATTCAGATACCTTCTCTATATTAGAAAGGCTGTATCCTGCCAACTCTTAAGCCTCTGAGTAATATTAGACATGGGAGTATTTCTACTGAAATCAAGAGGACTAACCATGTGAATGTTTGTGGGACTGGGCTCTTATAAATATAATAGAGTTTACAATGGAAGTGTTTAAATTCATTCCTTTGTTAAATTTACTCAGGGCCTAATCCTGCAGACATTTATGCATGTGCTTACCTTTACTTGTGTGTGTAAATTAAGCCCTTAAAGCAAGTGTTTCCAGGATTGGAGCCAAAGAATGTCACAATAATTTCTGCATTTATTTGGACATAATCTGGGAAAAAGTTATTTAATAACATAAAATTTCAAAAGACTTAAAGCAATGTACAGTAATAATGAATTCCCATTCACTTATCATATTAAAAGTAAATATAAAGTGAAACTTCTTAAAAAAGTTGTAATTTAAAAAAAATAGAAAACTTTTTTTTTTTTACCAAATTTAGAATCCTTTTTAGATTAATATGTTCAGAGTGTTCAGTGTATGAAACTTAACTTTGGTACAGAGAATTTGATGACACTAGCTACAGTACATTTTGTGAGCAGTAGTAAGATCAACATACCTCCGTTTGTGTTTTATTAAGTCTGCATCAACAATATCTGCCAAGGGCAGGTTAAACAAACTGAATGACGCTTGAACAATTACCCTATAGAAAGACAAAATATTTCAAAATGTTGATAGATACTAAACATACTTTTTTCAATGAGAAAACTGTATTGTGTGTGTGTGTGTGTGTGTGTGTGTGTATTTCTCTCTCTCTTTCTCTCTCTCACACACACACACACACACACTTTACTCTCTCATCAAGTAAATTAACACAGTATTATTGCTTCAAATTAAAAATGGCTATTAGGTCTATTTAAAGATCAGTTCTCCAAATAAATATTAGAGCTGTTACTTTAATCAAGAATTAGAAACCTGTATACAAACCTAAAACTTTCTCAACTCTTTTTGGAATTTCAAGATAGCAGTTTGGCATTGAAGTGAAAGAGGACACTTACTGAGGTTAATACCAACTTAAACTGACTTGAATGGAGAAAAGGAACATCTCAGAAGAAAGAACTAAAATTCTCCTCCAGAAATCTGAAAAAGGACATGCAGAGGACTGGAAGGGAAAGATAGGAAACAAGCTTAAAACAAGTGACAGAATTAGAATGATAAAGGTAAACAAATACATTTAACACATGATCAATAGAATCAAATGAAACAATAAACAGGATGATAGACTTGCATGTATTGCTAAGTTTTGGTAAAATTAGGTTCAAATTACAAAAGTCCTTTTTGGGCTAAATAACCTTCACATATCTTGAGAGATTTTTTTCCTAAGGAAACTTGAATACTTGAAATGAGGAAAATATATTACTGGATAATGTAATTCAGTTGTCACATAGTTCTTAGTTACAATAGCCCATGACTGAAATCCTGGAAGGATTGGGGCTGTGGGTGGGTGGGGGGGAAGGGGAGAAGAGAGAGAAAGAAAATATATGCAAAGAGGACAGGCAAGGTAGGAAGGGAAGACCATGAAATTAACACCATCCTATTCTAATTGAGAAGGCTGTTTTTAAAAATGTTTAATGAAGTATTTCCTTTTGAGGGTTTTCCACACCTCGCTGATCTACCTATTCTGTGAAATAACCTTGAGGTTTCATGCTTTAGCAGTACCAAAGAAAACAAATTTAATGTTGTTTAGCCAACAGTGACTTGAATTGCCAGCATTTTTGTGGGGTGGAGGGATCTAAAATCTTTAATTTTTCAATATTAAAAGAAAAGGGAAAAGGAATAGTATGAATCTAAACAACAGAAACTCTACTAGCTATTCTGTAAACTAAAATAAAGTTTAGAACTGAATTTCTCTTGCACTCTGCTAGTACTCAATTTCAGGCCAAAGGCGGCTGAGAAGGAACTGAGCGCAGTTCTTCCGCGCAGTGCTAGATAGCCTCGAGACAGGGAGAGCACGTGTGAGCCAAACAGACACTGCTACCTAAAATCTCCAATCTGAGGCACAGGGACTCAGATACACCTACAGTGGGAACACCAATAGGGACACTACTTGAAGAAGTGGTGGGAAACTGCTGTTTGGGTAAACGGGAAAGTCTGTGTCAATGGAATTTGCATTTGACCAACGTTAAAACTGATGTGGCTGGAGACAATGCTGCAAACTCTAATTATTGTATATATTAGATTGTTAATTTTAAAAAGAAAATAGAAGCAGTAACTAAAAGTTGAAATACTCTTAAACAAGAGTTGCCATTTTAATTGCAGCTCCTTTTCAGACCCATGAAACAGAACAAAAGGAAAAAGAGCAAAACTTATAGTAGGAAATTCTTCAAGCTACCACAAGGGTATGACAAAAAGAGTGTAAAAACAAAGTGACCTAACAGACTCCGTTCACAAGGCGTAGCAAGCTGTTAATTAAAAAAAAAAAAAAAAGTATCCTTGAAGGTATATATTTACTTACATGTTTGTTGTGAGATAAACAGCCAGCAGGTAGTAGTGTTCTGGTCCTAGAACAAACATGACAGCGGCAGCTATTCCTTCTAAGTAAAAGGAAAACAAGATGATCCTGTAATATCCAAACTTCTTCAGCAAAGTATGACCGAGAAGCACAAGGCACTGAAAAGATAATAGATACATATTAAGTATATACTTAATACAGTATTTCAGTACTTCTTTTAAGAAAACAGAGTTTTGGATGCTATAAATGGTTTACTGCTACACAGTACTTCTTCTAATTAGCAAACATGCATATTTTCTGAAAGGGGAAATCTGAATCAGTAACATTTTCAAATGCGCTCACAAATTAAGAACATAGGAACTGCACAAACAGAAAAGATGATAGGACCAGTGGGATGGTCCTATCTCTGTTTTAAAACAGATGCTTCAGAGACAAATGCTCTCCCTTCACCCAGAATCAGTCTGTGCGCTACTCTACATTGGGGTAAATATTGCTTCCCACTTCAGATAGCAATCAGCTCATACCATAGAGCATAATGTCCGATATCCATTATGCAGTTTATTTTGCAGTGTGTTCATAGTGAAAAGTGTTTCTTACCATTTGAACTTAGACTACTGGACTGAACAAAATGTGTGGTTTTCTTTTAAAGCTTGTGGAACCTTAGAGACTAACAAATTTATTTGGGCATAAGCTTTCGTGGGCTAAAGCCCACTTCATCAGATACATGCAGTGGAAAATACAGTAGGAAGATAAATAAATTTGTTAGTCTGTGTATCTTCCTACTGTATTTTCCACTGCATGCATCTGATGAAGTGGGCTTTAGCCCACGAAAGCTTATGCCCAAATAAATTTGTTAGTCTCTAAGGTGCCACAAGTACTCCTTGTTCTTTTTGCTGATACAGACTAACATGGCTACCACTCTGAAATCTTTCAAAGCTGTAATTTTTCATTAACATCACAATGGCTCTGATATCAATGGACATATATGGTAAACTTCTACTACCACTATTACTCAGTGCCACTTTTGTAATTGATAAAACAGTTTCACTGGGAAATCCTATCGTAACAGATTACTAGTTTTGCTTCTATTGTAGAAAAAGGTATTGGGAAAGGTAGATACTGAATGCGCAGTACTCATAGTTCCATTTCAAGTTTCCAGATTTCAACATGCAACAATCTACACAAAGTGCTAGCAACAATAAAATATCAGCTTTTTGGATGTGCCACATCCAGTAATTCACTTTTGACTGCATATGCTAATAAAAAGAATGAAGAAAACCAATTCACAACCTGGAAAAGTTAATTTATAAAAATGTTGTTTTTCTACAGAACACTGATGTTTTAGTCACAGATTGTGCTAACTTTTAAATCTAAAGCAAGTTATAGTTTGAAAATGTTGAGCAAAAGGTCTATGTGAATCTAAAGAAGAGAATCAAATCCATAAATTCAGTATTGAAAATTATCCTTCAATATTTTCATATTCGGGCATTAGAAATCCACACATGCATTATGTCACAAAAGTCTGAATTAATTAAAACACTTTAAAATAAAAACATCCGAAAAATGTTTAGTCATGAAGCCCACAGAAACAATTTAGACCAAAACTGACCTTTAGATGTTGAGCCCCTAAGTAACCTGAATAGTACCAGCAAAGAAAGATACTACTGCTACATTCCAAACCCTTTAAAAGCTTGGGGAGTTCCCTATGTCCTGAGGTCAGAAACTGAGACTCAGGGGTGAAAATCAAGCACAGATACCACCTTTAAGGAAAAGTCTATCACTATTAAAAAGCAAACCCAGTACAGCTGGATTCCATTCTTTCATACATTAGCAAAACTGTCAACTAAATTCTAGAAGCAAAATCTTTATTACTCGTGACATAAGAGGTAGAAAGAACATAGCTCACAGTACAGAAGTGGGACTGAAAAACTTGGCAACTCTCACCTGTACTGTGAGGGAATAAATACAAAATTCCACAATGTCATTTTACAGAGTCACTTTTCTGATGATATGGTAATTGCATTTTAATAAAACACAGAATGCTGTTTTTGCAAAAAGTTATGATAAAGGATAGTTTAGAGTTAGGCCCACATCAAAAAGAACGGTTAAAACACTCCATAATTTGTATATAGAATTTTTAAGATCAGGTAGAATCATACACTAGAATTTTTCCCCATGATGTTTCCTGATTCACAACTCTTCAGGATTATCATCCTCACTTTATGGTAACAAACATTTTATTGAACTTATTTTTGGTTAAAATATTTAAGATGTTGTTTCACCCACATTTGCCTATTGTGAAATTACATTTGGCTTCTTATCTTGTCCTCCTTGCTTTTGAGAAAGTTGTTTATTTTCTGGACACTCCAAATAAACAATTAAATATCTTAAACTATATATATATATATATATATATATTTTGTTACAATAGGAAGTTAGCAAATAAAAATAACAGATTGAGGCATACCTTAAAGACAATTGGAGTTTCAGTCTTAAAACATGATTTCATGATCTCTATTATGCTCTAACATATAATCAAAGTAATAATGTTTTAAGATTAAGATTTAATACTGAAAATGCACTAAAAAGTTGCAGTGATAACAAGCTTTAATGCACAAAAATTAAACTCTTCTTTTCTCTTCCATCTCTCACTTTCCATTTTCAAATGGGAGGACATTTTGAATGTACATAGTGCCTTTTATTTTTCTAATATAATGACACACTATATACCCAGGTATATGGTTCGCATCACTGTCAGATTTGAGCTCCTTCCATGAGTTACAAGATAACAATGCTCTCTTTCCTTCAATATTAATTAGCCACCAAGATTAATGATTTCAAACTCAATAAGCATTTCACAAAAGGAAGGCACTCCCCTTGCACTTTTCTTCCCATACTTAATTACTTTAAACAGCATCAATCCTCATTGTTAGACACAGAATGGATTGAAGATTCAGCTCAAGGAAACAAAAGGCAAACACATTTTTGAATGCTCCACACATGAATAGAATGAATCTTAAAAAAGATTGTGGCAAATATTATGAGGTAATTCAAGCTTTCTTCTTAAAAAACTGAGTACCATGCAGAGTAATGAGCAGGTTAAGCAGGGAATTGACAAAAGTGGCTGTAATATAAAGAAGTACAAATCTGACTGATTTTTATATGTTAAAAAAATTATCTATTTGCTGACACTTTGTGAAAATGTATTCATATTTAGATATAGTAACAGATGTGTAATGCATGTTATTTTAATGAACTGGACCTCATTTCATCATAATTAAGAAAAATCAACATGCCGTGGGAACGTCAAGCTCTAGTGCTTCAGAAACTTTGTTGGAGTCTTTCAATAAAAGCCCTGTATTTCCAAGAAAAATATTGAATCAGTTGATGCTTTAGGCTTTAATTTTTAAGTCCTTTGATTGCAACACCAGGGCATATTCAGGATATGCATCCTATCCCACACACCAACTGCCATCCCTTAATAGAAGCCGTGATCTAGCTTTGTAAAGGCCAGACAAGCATAATCCACAAAGCAGCTTTCTTTTATGTAGGCTGGATGCTTTACAATAAGTGAACTTCAGGACACTGCTGTCGGAGAATTCTCTTGTTATATCTTGAATTTGAAGGGACAAAACCCAAGAAAAATAAGGTCACAGCAAACTTTATACAGTTCAGTGGCCTTCTAAATAATGAATCTTTGGGAAGCAGAGAGAAATGTGTTTTCTGAAAGATTGTTCATTTTAGACTGTCATGTTGATTTGATCAGCAGTGATTGGTATATATTGAGTGTAAAGTTACTGAGGCTGTCCTAATTTCTGTAGTTTCTGTCAGATATATTCCTATCTTACTTACTTATAATAAAGAAGTTTATTACCTAGGTGTTTTTTTGAGTTATAGAAGAGACCTGTAAAATCTCTGGAGGGGCAGGGAGTTTTAATGGTAGATATTTATAAGTTCTGCAGCAAAGAATATATATTAGTTGTATTTAATTGCTGTATGTCAGCAGAAGCTTAAACTATAACAAATTCCTAGCTGTGCATTAAATTACTACTTTTCCATGTCTCCTTTTATATGTTATTAATTTATTTATTAAAAAGAACACAAGTTGTTCACATTAAAAATGAATGGCCTGATTTTCAGAAGTGCTAGGCACTCAAAACATCTGTATATAGTCTGCAGATGCTCACTATTTGAGAAAATCAAACCATAAACGTTTGAAGTAAATCTATGGAAAGTTTTTGAAGATCAGCTTTATACAAGTTTTTAGGGGGGCATGAGCAGGAAGATTTTATTTATTTATCTAAAAACAAGAACACTTGTCTTCTCTGTGGGGCATCTTTTTGCATTATTTTTTCTCTCACTCCTCTCCCATTGCTGTCCACATCTAATCCTTTTGGTCCTCTTTCCCTTCCAGTGCAAACCATATTTGGTTCTCTTGGGATGAGATCTTGCTCACCTTCTACATCAGTGGTTCTCAACTCTGGTCCACCGCTTGTTCAGGGAAAGCCCCTGGCATGCCAGGCCAGTTTGTTTACCTGCCGCGTCTGCAGGTTCAGCCAATCGCGGCTCCCACTAGCCACGGTTCCCCACTCCAGGCCAATGGGGGCTGCGGGGGCAGCCAGCACGTCCCTTGCCCCACACCGCTTTCTGAAGCCCCCTGCAGCCCCCATTGGCCTGGAGCCATGATCGGCCGAACCTGCGGACGCGGCAGGTAAACAAACCGGCCCGGCACGCCAGGGTCTTTCCCTGAAAAAGCGGTGGACCAGAGTTGAGAACCACTGTTCTACATGCAGATGATGAATGAATGACAAAATGAATTAGAAGGCTTCACTCCCTCAAATGCAGGTGAGTTGACAGACCTTGCTTTGTTAGATCATCTAGCCCCTTCATCAATTCCCATGATGATGCAGAGAATGTTCATTTGGGGGAGGTCGGTTATACCTAACATTTATTTTCCAGAGTTCTGTCCCATCTAGTTTTAAATGTCTGAAAGCAATGGGGATTCCCTCACCATCCAGACACATTAAAATAAGGAAAATTAACACCAAGTTTTTCAATATATTTCACTTTTAGGATATTTTTTCCTGATACTGAGCCTATTTTCCTTCTCTTATTCTAAATTGTTAAGCCCCTGAAACACAAAAACATTTACTTTCTCTTCTTGTTGACTGTTATTTTATCTGCCTACCCTCCTTCTCTCTGCTACCCTATGCTGCCTTTTTGGCTAGACTAGACTAGACGAGACTAAAGTTCTTTTTATAATGTTGGTGCACAAGATTTGTTCCTCAGACTAATAAAAGGTTTCTGCCAGATACAGTATTTTGTCCAAGCTGTGTAAACAGATACTTTAATTACTGAGAACTAGCACAAAAGTAAGCTGCATTTTCCTTTTAAATAAAAGATTAAAAGCATTGTTGCATACCTGAGGACAAATAAAGCCAGCTCCATACATGATGCTTCTTATAAAAGAGGAAAGGACATCCTTAGGGATGAGATTATCCGCAAAGATCATCATGAAATTGTTGCAGAAGGCTAGGTGGAAGACTTGAAAGAAGTTCATGGTCACAAAAAGTATAAAGTTTTTCTGTGTCATTATCTGTTTGGTCAATGAAATTACAGAGGACCAGGAGAGAGCTTTATCATTATTTTCTAAGCTAGTGTTCTCCACAGGAGTTTCTCTCTGTTCATACTGACTAGTGCTATATATGCCAGTGTAACACATACAAGCAGTTGCTAGTGCTGCAACCAAAACAGTAAAGGTTTGAAAATAGGCAAAATTTTCCATATTATCTGATATTAGACCACAAAAAAGAATGCTCGTTGATCCAACTAATGTTGCCACTTGGTTATAGTTAATAAGCTGAAGTCTACTTTCATGTCTAGGTGAAATCTCTGCAAAGAGCGCACATTGTGCTAGCAACACAAATGTAAGCAAGCCATCAAAAGCACATAAAGCAACAATAAGGTGAAGACCATTAAGCCAGTCACCTTCCTGATAATGTTTCCAAGGAAACCAGGGAAGCAGAAAAGCTAAGCCATACAATGGTGCTCCATATAAAATTGAAAACTGACGTCTTGAGCAGCATGGGACTTTGGAGTTGTCTTGAATATACCCAAAGAGAGGGTCATTAATGGCATTCCAGATCATAAAAACTACCTGAGAAGAAAAATACAGAATTTCTCATTAGTGATATTTTTCTGTAGGATTCATCAAGACATACATAACATCTGGAATAACAAAAGTGCTGACCTATATGATGGAAAGGTTAAACGTATTTTGTATGTTGTACACTCACAAACAAACATTAAGTATATTTGTATGTAGAGTCATCTAAATTAAACTATTTCTAAATCTCTACTAACAGAGGATATTGATGCACAAACAATGAAGTACACTATGTCATATTTGTTTAATGTACAATTCTACTTGGAAAACAAAAGAGGAAAGCTTGCCAAATGGAAATGGACTAAGGCCATATTTTTAAAAGTACTTAGGTGCTTTAAGATACCTACCAGCACGTAGCAGGATTTTCAAAAGTGGGTGTTAGGCATTTAGGTGCATTTGAAAATCCTACTGAGTGCCTACCTGCATTGTTAGCTGTCTATATACCTTTAAAAATCTGGCCTTAAAGGCCCAGTCCTGCAAAGACTTACACACATGGCCCTTCATCTTGCAAACCCTTGTGCATATAAGTAACTTTGAGAACATGAGTAGACCCTTTTAATTCATTGGGACTACATACATGCATAAGGTTGCTCACATAAGTAAGGATTTTCAGGATCATGGCCATATTTAACTTTAAACAACAATTTAACATATGTATAAATCTTTGCTGAACAGGGACATAAAATTGGTAAAGAAAAACTTTATTTTGAAGTTTGTCAGAGTAACAAACATACTTCCAACAATGGATTTTTTTTTAAATCTAAAAACTATTAATAAACTTTGAATGTACCTACAATTTATTAAGGATCACATATTTAATTATATTTGCAGTATGTCAATAATTGATTCATCAATGAAGCAGAATTATTTCATTATTATTATACAAACACTGTGCACAACAATATGAAAATCCATGTTCCAATGTACTATACCTGTGCTTGATGAAATGCTGTTTCTGAAATCTTGTATTGGTTTAAGAAAAGCTTAACATAGTAGAAATTAAAGATACTGTTCATCATTCCAGCGCCTAGTGTGGTCATGGAATATGCCAGGGCATTAGGATGAATTCCTAAAACAAATTTCATTTTCCAAATTGTGAATGTCTCCTCTTCTTCTAATTATAAAAAAAGAAAAATACTTATAATTACTTATTGATTAAGTACAATTGATATTTATAATCCTTGCTAATAGAGGACTACTGAATTCCATGTTACAGCGTGCCACATTTTAGTTTTACTACTTCGGAAAATGAAAAGCCATTGGAGATTTGCCTATGTTAGGACTGCAAGAAGGGATCCCTAGAGTCCATGTTGGTCAGCTTTATCATTCAGTCTCTTTCCAACTTTCGAAATGTACAACAAAATGTCTATAAAATTGAGTCAATAAGCTACAGTATTAAGAGATCAATGATGTTTCTTAATTTTGTATGAGTACTTAAAATACCTATGGTACATGTGTATCGAAGAACAAATTTATCATTTGTCAAAAATTGTATCCCTAGACCCCAGTCTTGCACTGTAATCACTAGTGCAAACCCATACTCTGGTACCGTGCTAGTAAATCAAGACTTTTTTTAAAATCTTTTTTTTCTGGTTTCCCCCCCAAAATTTACATGTACATTTTATATTTATCTATACAATTAGATTTGACACAAAGTCTGCAACTGCTTACCCCAAAATATTAGACAACGGGGTCCTCAGTTTCAGAAAGTTTGTGAACCTTATTATTTCCCTCATAAATCCTTTTTGCAGAAACCAAACAAAACTCTAGAGGCATACCTAATGACAATCTGGAATATAGGATCTGAAATAGCTATTCAAACCACTGGCTGAACTTAGTCCAGTGCATTGCCTAATGAACTGGCCAATATATCTAGTGCAGGGGTTCTCAAACTGGGGGTTGGGACCCCTCAGGGGGTCACAAGGTTATTACAGACGGGGTTGTGAGCTTCCAGCCTCCACTCCAAACCCTGCTTTTCCTCCAGCATTTATAATGGTGTTAAATATATTAAAAAGTGTTTTTAATTTATAAGGAGGGTTGCACTCAGAGGCTTGCTATGTGAAAGGGGTCACCAGTACAAAAGTTTGAGAACTACTGATCTAGTGCTCCATATCAAGGTTGGTACCATATTCCCTCTCGCAAGAAGTGCACCTCTCCAACTGTGCAATGCTGTAAATATGTATGATGATTCCTTTCTACCTCCCCTTTCGCTGGTCTACCTATATCTATCCTAATCATGAGATTTAACTTTGTATGAATCAGGAAGGGGTAACCAGGTATGTTTAAAGTTCCAAATTTCCTAATGGCAACTAATGTACACGTGAGCTAGAGGATCCCACAGAGCAAAACAGACTGCGTTATTTAAGCAGGTAATAGATGGGTCCCACTGGATTCAGCTGACCACCTTCCCACTCAAATAGACTTCAAGGTCAGAAGGGACCATCGTGATCATCTAGTCTGACCTCTTGCACCCCTAACTTCCAGCTGAGTTACTGAAGTCCTCAAATCATGGTTTAAAGACTTCAAGTTACAGAGAATTCACCATTTACATTAGTTTAAACCTGCAAGTGATCCATGCCCCTTAGTGCAGAGGAAGGTGGAAAAAACCTAGCCAATCTGACCCGGGGAAAAATTCCTTTCTGACCCCAAATATGGCAATCAGTTAGACCCTGAGCATGCGGGCAAGATCCACCAGGCAGATACCTGGAAAAGAATTCTCTGTACCAACTCCAAGTCCTCCCCATCTAGTGTCTCATCTCCAGCAGTTGCAGATTTTTGCTACTGGCAGTCGCCATTGGGCCACTTGCCATCTTAGTCAGTCCCATCATACCATCCCCTCCATAAAGTTATCAAGCTCAGTCTTGAAACCAGTTAAGTTTTTTCCCCCACTAGGAACGCTGTTCCAGAACTTCACTCCTCTGATGGTTTTTTGTCTAATTTCAAGCCTAACCTTGTTGGTGGCCAGTTTATAGCCATTTGTTCTTATGTTCACTTTGACACTTAGTTTGAATTACCAGAGAGGGAGAGGAGTTTTTATCCCTCTGATGTATTTATAGAGAGCAATCATACTGCATATTACTTGCTTCTCTCCAAGAAGCAATGACCAGGAGTAAAAGAAAACTAGTACCCAAGGTAGAGAGATGAAAATGGATTCCAAATGGTAATACTAAGCCCTGTCCAAACTGTGCTAGCTGACAGACACCATGCTCAGATCGCCATATGGAGTCAGAAAGGAATTTTTCCCCAGGTCACATTGGCTGGGGTTCCCAAACTGTAATCTTTTGGGCACTTGTTAGCAGTCCTCAGAACTGGCTGGTCACATCTTTTTTACGTCTTTTAAACCACATTAAAATGTAGCTACAAATACATTATACTTTCTAATGTTGAGTGTAAGCAATTTTTGTAATTGACAGAGATATAACTGCAAATGGAAGGGAAAGAGGTCTGCATGATTTTGAATAGGAGGGAAGGTGAATACATGAAACATGATCCAACTTTACATAAAAAAGTCAGAGAACCCAAATTCTAATGGTTACCAAGCATTGCTCCTTTTTAATACTACAGAACTGTGCTTGACAACCAGACAGAAGGGTCTATGGACAGTTCACTGGACTAGAAACTTGGAGACCTTTGTTCTCTGTAGAGTTGGGCAAGTCACTATTCCTTTCTCCAACAGTCCTACCCTTCCCCATCTGTAAAGTGTCACCCTTCTTTATAAATATTAAGGGTCTATGGATGAAAAGTACTATATAATTTCTAGGTATTATCATGGATAATTATTTTCAAACATGGTAGCAGCTGCTACCATGCTTCACTGTGGCCAGCGATTCCTCACCAAACAACAGCACCATGGGAAGTTTACAATAAAAAGACATGGTTGACATCTGCGAGCTGCAGTATACAATCCTGTTTGAAAGCATTTTAACATAATGAAGCATTCATCCCTAAGGACCCCCGGATGCTTTATAGACCATACATATGCACAGAGTTCACTTCAGGGACATTTTAACAGCATTCACCTATGAGGCCCCTAGACTCAACTATTCCTATCCCTCTGTACTTCACCACCATTCCCACCCTCATAGCCCCCCCATCCAATCCCACACCCACAGCTCCCCATTGCTCTGTACTTCACCACTATTCCCACCCCCCCCCATAGCTCACCCATCCTATCCAACCTCCCATAGCTCCCCATTCCTCTGTATTTCACCACCATTCCCACCCCACCCACAGCTCCCCATCCCCCTGCACTTCACCACCATTCCCGCTCCCATGGGTGCTGGAACAATTTGTATAGCGAGGGAGCTAAGAGCCACTCAACCAAACTGTAAACCCTGCATAGGATGGAAACCAGTGCAAGTCAGGAAGTGCTACAGCACCCCCACACCCTTAGTTCCAGCACCTGTGATAGCTCCCCATCCTCCCGCAAACCCCTTTCCTTCTCCCCGGGAAACCCAAGAACCGACTCCCCGGGAAAGGCTCCTTTTCCCCCGGGAAAGGCTCCTTCACAGCCTTATCCAGTCTGCCCCACACAGCCATCACTAACCGACTCGTTGTCTCCGCCCTCCGGCCGGAGGCTACGCAGCTCACCCGCGGGGCAGAACTTAATTTCCTCAAACCCACCTTCCCCCCCGCCCCCACTCCATTGGCTGAGTGGAGGCTTTCTGCACGTGATTGGTCGGCGTTCCGGTCGATCGCTGAGTGGCGGCACGCGATTGGTTATCTGCCGGGCAGGTCAGAGTGCCCGTTTTGAATAATCGTTCCCCTGGTTAGTAAGAAGGCGGTTGCCGATGCCACGTTGCTGGCGGCTGCGGTGTCGGGCCCGGCCTGGAGAGGGGGGGGACTCGGCAAAATCCGGAAGCGCTCGGCAAAGTCCGGCCGCGGCTTTAAAGGAGCTGAGCGATCCCCGCCTCGCCCTGCGCCGCGGTTCGGTTAGCTGTGAGCGCGAGGAGCCTTCGGGCTGCCGCTACGCCGGCGCCACTGCCTCGCCCGCCCGCCCGTGCAGCCGCAGCCGGGGCCGGGGCCGGGGCCGGGGCCGCGATGCTGGCCGACAGCTTGGTGGAGGAGTTCGAGATCCGCGACGATGAGCCCTGGTACGATCAGCAGGACCTGCAGCAAGGTGAGCAGCCCGGCCGGGCTCCGCGTGGAGGATACCCGTCGGACGGGGCTCGCCCCTCCGGGCGCAGGGCACCGGCTCCCGCTGACCAAGGCGCTGAAGGAGCCTTCTCCGGCGGCGGATGCTTCAGGGGTTGGCGCGGGGGAGACAGATAAGTCTGGGGGGGGTCCCTATGAGAGCGGGGGAGGGGGCAGGTAGCTCCCGCGGGGGGCTCTCTATGAGGTGGGGCAGGTGAGTCGGAGACGGGGAATGATGTGGGGGAGAGGAGGGCAGAAGGGACCGGGGACCGGGGGAGGGATGGGACAGAAAGCGGGGAGGAGGGGTGTGAGCGCGCGGGCGGCTGAGGGGACCGCGCCGCGGGAGGGGAGGAAAAGGGCGGGCGGGGGGCAGAGGACGGAAGGGTACAGTTCGCCCCGAGAGGCTGGGGCTGGGAGAAGGGGAGGGGGCCCTCTTCGAGAGGGAGGAAATGGGAGACCGCTCCAGGCTGGGGGCGCACAGGAGGAGGGAGAGGGCTCTTCTCTAACAATTGAAGCTGCAGGGCGTTTGCCATCGGGCAGCGCCTTAGGGGTCCGGGGGGTTAACGGGAGGCTAATCAGGAATAGCAAAGTACCGTAGGGCGCAATGGTATCGTGCCACCTTCGCAGTCATGGCTTCTGGGCCGTGTGTGACTGGGTAGGAATACGGATTTCTGCAAAACAAACCCTGCATTTAAAGGGTGGCTTGTGCGCCTGGCTTAAGGACTGGTTCTTCCCTTAACTTCGTTCGCTTTTTAGGGGTTAGACTGTGTGCCACTCTCTGAAAAGCTGTACCTCTTACATAAAGCAGCTCGGTCAAGAGAGTGTTTTTGCTTTAGCTGCAGTGCTTGCTTAAAATAGAGTAGTTGTAAATAATACTTAGGGGTTTCCACACCCTGTCTCCGCCTCCTGCCTACCTGTAATTAAAGGCCTTGCAATTGATTACATTGTAAATACTAGGAGAAGTCCTTGTGGTACCTTGGAGACTAACAACATTTATTGGGCATAAGCTTTCCTGAGGTATAACCCACTCCATCAGAAAGCTTATGCCCAAATAAATTTGTTAGTCTCTAAAGTGCCACAAGGACTCCTTGTTTTTGCTGATACAGACTAACAGGGCTACACCTCTGAAACCTGTCACATTGTAAATACTGGAACATCTTTATTATGTGTAGGTGGTCAGTTACTGCTCTCAGCTCCTCTTTACACATGTCTTGTTTACAACTTACTGTGAACGTTCATTGAATAATTCCAATAGAAATTTGCTTATCTTAATAATATATATGTGGCTCTTATAGTGCTTTTTCATCAGTAGTTCTCTCCATATTTTATAAAGCTGGTAAATAGGCACTGAGGTACAGTAGTGGACTGAATGTATAGCATTATCAGTTTTCTTAACTTCTTGTAGGCATTAATTGGAACGAATGTAGAATAATTTTCTTTGGATTTAACAATGTTTAAAATTGGTATTTAGACTTATTTTTTAAAACCCTATGTACATTCTTAAACGACCAGCTCAGAACTGGAAGATTGAGAAAAGTGGCATACTCAAAACTAGATTTAATTAAAACTTGATTTCTCTAAGCTCTTCCTCATATAAACTCTTTGGGGTAGAGGCAGTCCTTTTGTTCTGTTTGTACAGTGCCGAGCACGGTGGGGTCCTGATCCATGCCTGGGGCTGATAGATTCTATTGCACTATAAAGAATAAAAGCAGGGGGGAAAAATCACTGTTTTCATACTAAAGTCATGCAGCTAACAATAAAAATTCCATCTCTCTAAGGTCAGAATAAGTCTGGAATTTTGTATGTTTTTACTGACTTTGCTAACTGTTGAATAGCTATTTTTGAGTGCTTCATACTCAAAAACAATAGTTTTCTTGGATTGTAACTTTACATGATCACATAACCATAAATAGTTTGCTGTTGCCTAGAAAAACTGGTGAACTATCTAAAATTATTCTCTAATGATTTAGACCTTTTTTCCAATCCATTGTAAAGCTGTCACTATTCAAAGGTAAACATGGCTGTGTGAATCACCTAAGCTGCCTCATGAAGTGTACTGTGATTCGCTTCTGCCTTATAATGGTGTTCCTTTGGTCTGATCTGAATCTAGTTGAATCTCTTTTTTTTTATTATTATTATTCCTTGTATCAAACTCTTGTTTTGTGCTGTGCTTCTAAGTTCCACCTCACAAGTTAGCGCATTTCAGTGATGGTTAAGGGATTCTCATATATCAAATAGACTTATATACAGATTCTCTCATTATAAAATGCCCTAAGTATAAGTGATTGTTAGCTGTGCCAAAAAAAGATAATGGTAAAATAAGCACCACTCTAAGAATAATATTGGATGGCGCTGCCAAGAGAGATCAGGATGTTTTTGAGGATCCCTTAAAATTAACTAAAACCCCTAACTCCCTTAGCAGTTGAGTAGTTACTTTTTAACTCTTAGGATTTGAAAATTCAAAGTAGGTCAAAGTTCAGACCAAAACTTTGATTGTGTTATGAACAATACACTCCAGAAACTTCCACTTTTAAAAATTGAGAATTTAATATCCAGTCAGACTTCTTGTTAAAGCATAATGTTGCTTGAAGAGAATTTTCATGTTTGAAATATTCAAGAATGGGGAGGAGCAATTCCCTACTTTCGTAGGACTGCATTTTGTTGCAGTGTATTGACCTTCTGAAAAGGCTTCTCTCATATAAGGAAAGTGATCATAATGCTGTTTTTCGAAAACTAGCAAAGGATTGAGTAGATTACAATCTGGAATGAAGGGTACAATATACATTCCATAGTGACCATTCTAAAGCTTGCTTAAAAGCAAGGATCTGGTGCTAAACCTGGACTGCTTAGTAGTCTCTTCTGTTGTTGAAAGTATCATTTTGCTGTACAAAGTTCTTGAATCCTCTTATGTAGAGTATTAAAACATTGAGGGGAGGGGGAAATCTTGACTTCGCCCCAATTATAGTAACAGTGTCAGCATGGTTTGTACTCAAGTGTAATTAAGTGAGAAATGTTTAATGCAATAGTAAGAACAGCTTCTAAGTCTCACTTTAGTGTGAAAATTCCAGATATAATTAAACACGATGAGCAGCAGAGATAGCACTGCCAAAATCTTACTCGCATTATTTTACCTAGAGACCAGTAACCCATAAAGTGACTGACTTTAATTTGCATTATTTAAGTAAGAACGGATGACTGTGGCTCACAATAACTTTAGCCTCATAGTGAAAAGTGACCTTCCCCACACATCTGTTGGGATTTCATTAACACATTGGCATAAATTTACAGTACCTGAGATCACAGCTAAGAAATTGAGTGCAGAGGAACAGCAGCTATATTGTACTGAACCCTTTAAAGACAGAATTTACATTTCTTTGTTTCCTTATTCATCTGGACATCTAAGTCCTATAGCTGATTATTTATTTTTCTTGATTATGTCAGACACACCTTGCACACACTTAATGAACTCTAATAAATTTGTCAGTCTCCAAGGTGCCACAAGTACTCCTGTTCTTTTTGCAGATACAGACTAACACGACTGCTACTCTGAAACCTGTTACTTGGCTGAGTAGTCCTTTTACTGGCCAAACTCCCCTGGACGTCAGCATACTTAGTTTGCAGGATCAGTTGAGTAAATTAAAAAAGCTAATGCTCTTTATCCCTTGTGCTAATGGCACTGATTTTTTTTTTTTTTCCCCAAAGATGTTATACACTGGTAGCTCCCATTTATTTCACTGGGGTTTATGGGTGCTCAACATTGCTGAAAATTGTTTCATTAGAAAGTAGATCCTTTCTGCAGTGCTTAAAAATACACTGGAGTTTTAGTACAAACCAAAATCTCTCACTTCTTTGCCTGTATTTAAACAATGGGTTTGTTTTTTTAACACGTTTTCTTGGGCTTTTCCACCTGTTTTCCTGCCTATCATAAGAAAGCCAACAGATTCTCTGCGAAGAATGGTGAATATTTCCTACAAGAAAATATCAATGCTTCTGCGAATCTTGTGTCAAGCTAACAGAGTACTTTATGTTTAAATCTGCGGCATGTACTTAGGTGTTCCATATAGACAGGAATACTTGGATATCACTTTATATGTTTGAAGTGCTCAGTAAATACTAAAAATATGTACTGACATACATGCATATGTAACTTCATGTTTATATGCATAGTTTAATTTCTTCTAACTGCACTTCTAGATACTTTTTTTTGTAAAGTATGCTTAGAGCCACAAGTACTTAGAGCTCTAAGGTGCCACAAGTACTCCTTTTCTTTTTGCGAATAGAGTAACACGGCTGCTACTCTGAAACAAATCCAGGAGATAGATCCAGATCCACAAAGATATTTAGGCTCCTAACTGCCACTGAAATTAATGAAAGTTAGGCGCTAAATACCTTTGAGGATCTGGGACAAAATGTATACCTTTGGGTGTTCTGAGTAATTCTAAGGGTTATACACATTCTTTGTTTAACAGAATCTTATTCTGTGTCTTATTTAAAGTATAGAGCCTTATGTAATGACAAAGTAAAAGCTGGAACACTGCATTATTTGAGGTAACAGAAAAAGTTGCTACAAATTGTTGAATGGCTTTAATGATTACATGGCTGCTGGATACCCAAGGCTAGTGTGTTTTGGTTTAGAATAGGGGTGGGCAAACTTTTTGGCCCGAGGGCCACAACTGGGTTGTGAAACTTTATGGAGGGCCAAGTAGGGAAGGCTGTGCCTTCCCAAACAGCCTGGATTCTGCCCCCCCTCCCACTTCCCACCCCCCTCAGAACCACTGACCAATCCAACCCCCCTGCTCTTTGTCCCTTGCCCCTAACCGCCCCCCAGGATCCCACTCCCTATCCAACCCCCCTGCTCACTGTCCCCTGACTGCCCCACCCCCTATCCGCACCCCCGGCCCCCACCCCCTATCCAAGCCCCCTGCTCCCCGGCCCCTGACTGGCCCCCCAAACCTCCACCCTGTTTAACCGCCCCCTGGAACCCCATGCCCCTTATCCAATCCCCCACCCCCCTACCACACTGCTCAGAGTGGCAGGTGCTCGCAGCCACACTGCCGCCCTGCCTGGCAGGAGCGGCGGGCCAGAGCGCTGGTGTTGCGCTGAGGCTGCAGGCGAGGGGGGACAGCAGGGGAGGGGCTGGGGGCTAGCCTCCCCAGCCGGGAGCTCAGAGGCCGGGCAGGATGGTCCCACAGGCCGTTGTTTGTCCACCTCTGGTTTAGAATTTGTAAAATAGGATTATATTTCTATACTATTATATGGAGGATTATAGACTCACTGAAGTTAGACTGCAGGAATTACCCTGAAGAGAGACCTGTGGAAAAATAAAAGGGGCTACTTCTGACTGCTAGTTTAAACTTTATCTTTGCCTCTGGTTAATCAAAATGAAAGTTTACACTTTCTGCCTCTGTAGGTTGCAAGGAAACATCAACCAAAATGTCTTAAATAAAGTTGGTAAGGATTGGGAAATTTGTAGAGAGCCCAGAAAATGAAGCTGTAGCTGGGTTTGCACTTCTTAACAAATGGACCCATGATCAGAATTATTCTTTCAACCCCTACAAGGTTAGAAGAGACAAAAGTTCTCCCTTTATTATGACCATTTTATAAAAAGTGCAGGGATATACCCACTACATGACACATGTATTTTGTGCATTCTAGCACTTTGTATTCATAAACAAAATTAACGTAATATTGGCTTATATAACCTTTGGATGCGGTAAGAGAGACTTCTGTTTGCTGGGTAATGAGCCTTTTAGTTTGAGGAGATTAGCTGTATTCTAAAATGACATAAGGAGTGTGATGCAAGAAGATTGCATTGATGTCACTATAGAATGACATACTAACCTTTAATCGCTGAACTATTTAGCAGTATATCACCAGAGAACAACTTTATTTCTGTTTTCTTATGTACATCAATTAATGCAGTGTTTATTTCCCCACTATTCAATTAAGTTATACGGTGTATTTTGATGTATACAATTTACATAAACTTGCTGGAGTATCAGAATCCCAGTACAATGTTTTGATGTCATGTCCTCTGGCACTGTTTTTCTACAACTAGCAGTTAACTTGCAAGATATGGGACTAACAACTACTATAGTACAGTGGAGTCTTGAGCCCTTGTCTACAGTAGAAAAAAAGTTTAACTTGGATGATTAGCATGTATTAAACTTCTAAACATGGGCATGTTAGTGTGTATTTAATACATTTTTTTTCCCTCCTACTGTGGATGTGGCCTATGATTTACTGCTGTTAGTAGTCATTGGGTGTGGGGTTTACATTTACTTACTTTTACTGGTGCAGATCTTGCCCTTCTTTCTCATTGATCAGTGGCCTTTGTTTTAAGAATCAGATTGCAAGGAATTTTTTTTCTTTGCTGTTCTCAAAGTAGGAAACCTTTGAGAACAACTTGTACAAGTAAAGAATATATAATTCATGGATTATTTGATCTGCTAAAGCACTTTAATACCTGTCAGAACACCCTGTTGAAAGATTTCAAGTTTCTGTGCATATCTGTTTGGGAAGTTCTTTGGCTTATGCATCAGGATGTAGTGATAATTTGAATACACTGTCTAAGCGAAGGCTGCCCAAATCAATTTTTAACAGGGTTCTACTCTATTACATCAACTAGATAGAGATAAGCTATCAAACTAAAATGAAACAAGATAAAAACAAGGGCATTTGAACTTTCAACCTAAAGAAATATTGGAGTTCATATTCCAGCCGATTATCTGTACTGCTCATATATATTATACATCCTTTTAAATCCTGGCAGAAAGAATTCTAAATTCTCCTTCGCTTGTCTTTCCTTGTATTCTGGCACTGTACCATTTATGATGATAGTTCCATATATCTAAAAATTAACAAGATTGTATTGCCAGCTTGCATGTATATGGCAATCTGGTCGTGGTCCAAGTGATGTGGAAGAGGTGGAAAATTACAAACTTTGTATAAGGAATTGCAACATAACTATTGGATTCTGCATTTCTCTTTATATGAAATATAGTACCATGTTTAGGGGAGTTAATACTCTAGCAGTAACCTAGATTATTGATCTCCGTTGTCACACAAAGTGTGAGATGCATGCAACATAAGGACTAATAATGTGCTACTTATTGCATATCATTCTTTCATAAGCTTGGAATTTACTAATCCATGCTATAGTTAAAGGAGGGCATCCAAATTTACCTGGAGTCCCTGTATATGTGTGGATTCCTTATTCTTTTTAAAAAACAACAACAAGAAACAACCAGCTATATTCATAGGAACTCTGGAGGTTGCTGAGGAGGATTAGGTTGAGTTTCAAATATCTTTAAGAGAACAAATAGCGTTTAGAATCTTTTTGAGAAAAGGAAATTAACCATTGTCTGGTGCTGTTTATAAGTCAAGAGACACACAATACATATCTAAGCACATTATCTAACTTCCTATTTCATCAGAAAAAGTGTTTGAAAATCTTCAGCTGATTGTCTAATGGTGCTGCAAGGGCTGAGTTGCCTTTTGGGGTAGTTGGAGGAGTAAGAGGACATCAAATATTGTTCCAGCCTGGCCTAACCAGTACTTAACAGGCCTTTTTACTTTTTGCTCCCCTCTCAAAACCCCAACTAACTTATTAGTGTGGGGTTAGCAGTTATAGCTAATTGACGGATCTAGGGTAAGAGCCACTTGGTGGTGCACTACTGGGCCTCGTGTTTATGCTGCTCTCTGCCTACCATGTTGGGGAGTATCATTCCCATTCATCCTCCTCTGCGTAGGGACAAAGTGAATAGTTAGATGTAGATGAGGAACTACAGAAGGCAAAGAGCAATCAGGTGAGGAAAGTAAAACTAATGCGGTGGAGAGGAGACTAAAAACGATGATGGAGTGAATGGAGAATTAGCCTCAGTCCCAAAGAATGTGTATTGGAGCATAAAAGCTTGTACTTGGACACAGTTATAACCTTGAGAATTTAATTGAAATAACATAGTAATGGTCAGATTGCACAAATTGGGTCTTAAATAAATAACATGCCTGTAAATTTTATTTATTTAGATCTACATCTTGCTGCTGAACTTGGGAAGACATTATTGGATCGTAACACAGAACTGGAGGAATCTTTGCAGCAAATGTATGCAACCAATCAAGAGCAACTACAAGAAATAGAGGTAAATTTTAAGGAGTATGGGTGAGTTCTGTTGCAGAGTTTGATAACCTTGTAGTGTGGACATTGAAATCATTTGGATACCATGAAACTTGATTTTGACTCCTTCAAAACTTCATCTTCCAAGAAGACACTCTGAATGCCTCTTGCAGTTAATTTTAGTTTGATTCTAGAATTTCTAAAGCTTGATAACATGCATAGACTCATAGTTTCCTCTCAGTAGAATCTTTGGATCTTCACTAAATTTAACTTCTATAACTATAATGACAAGTGTTTGTATAAACTAGCTGTTTCAGAAATAGATACTGTTTAAAACAAGGGTTTCTCTATCTAAATACATGATGTGGGTGGATTACTTTTCTTAACAAATCCAGAAAATACATGTAGAAGAAATCTCTGTAGGTTTTTGAAAAGCCTGCATTTGAAATAGTATGACTAGCTGTTTCCACAAATATCTTCACACACACAAAAATTGTAAGTTTAACAAATGGCATCAAGCCATACATCAGTGGTCCCCAAAATGGGGTGTGCAAGACCATCTGTGGGGGTGCGCAACAGGAGGAACGCTGCCGAAGGAGTGCTCCTGGACCTTTGATTCTTCGGCGGCACGCCGGCAGCAGTTTGTTTGTTTGTTTTGGGGTTTTTTTGCTTCCCCTTTTTTTTGCTGGCCCTGGGGGTGTGCGATTCAAAGAGTTTGGAGACCCCTGCCGTACACACAAGGCGTCCTGTAATTACACTATAGAGAGCAGTGATATTTTTGCATGCTCTATATTTGATATTTTAGTCTGATCAACAAGTGTTAAAGTCAATTGCAAAGAACTTATTCTATTTACAGAGTTTTCAACATTTCAATCATCCATTGATAGACACTTTAAACTTTTCAATTAATGAAATGAACTGTGACTGGTACTTAAGAAGAATTTACATAACTGAATAGCCCATATGATGCAAGTAGTATTAAAGCAGTAATCAATTTAACGTAAAGTGTATATATCTGCTTGCAATTTAGAGAATGTTGAAATGATCTTTCAGTACAATAATGGCAGTCACTACAGCTTTAATCCAACATTTGTATTAGGTTGCATATGCAAGCAAATAATGCCATGGCATTTTAAATTCTAGGATGCTTGCAGGTTTCCCTTGTATGAATTTTCTTTTTTTAAAAAAACAGCTAACTGGTGCACAGTATAGACAAAAAGTGCCCTCTTCTAAGGATACCTTTGTATTGCTGATCACTGATATACCTCCCACAGCTTACTTGACTTTTTTCCCCCCTATTAAATCATGGTAGATCTAGTCTCTATATCCAGTTCATTCTGTAATATAAAGGACAACAATAAAGCAAAACAATGCTGGAGTTAAAGCCACCAACCCAACAAACCCAACCTATCTGCATTTGTTTATTCAGAGACCTTGAAATGTCTCCCGAGTCCCATGAGTCTAAATAGTTCACAAATAAGATTGATCCTTAGGGTCTGAAGTATGTAAACTCTTAGAGCAACTACAGAAACTTTAGGTCTCCCATCCCCCCACCATTTTCATTGCCCTTCCCTGCATCTTAATGTACATCAGAGTGGAACAGCTTCCATATGAGGAGAGATTAAAAAGACTGGAACTAGTCATTTTAGAAAAGAGATGACTAAGGAGGGATATGATAGAAGTCGATACAATCATGAATGATGCAGAGAAAGTGTTGTGGTGTTTACCCCTTCACATAACACAAGAACTAGGGCAGTGATTCTCAAACTTATTTGATCATGCCCCCCTTCTTTTTGTCTGTAGTAGTTTATACCCTCTTCTCCCCCTCTACGTCTCAGCCACACAAGTACATATAGCCATATACGCAGCAGCGGTGCTTCACTTGAATCATTGTTTGCTTCTTTGTTTTTCATGTTTTTTTTTTCCTGCTGCATGAATGAGCCAACGATCCATTGTAATAAGAGCAAAAGCAAAACAGTGATTGTGGTCCACGCTTATAAACATGCACATTGCATCATAGCAAACAGATTAACATGCAGATGGCAACGACTTTGTATAATGCTAAGCAAGCTTAACAGATCTGTCAAAATGCACAGTGCCATCTAGAGTCAAATGCACAGTGCTATCTGATATGTCTGGAGGAATCAGCTTTACCAGTTACTCATTGCTGTGGGTAAAATGTGTGAAGTAAGGTTTTTTTTTTTCCTGCCAAAAGATTCTCAACTCCCTCCTGAATACATTCCATGCCCCTGCAATTTGAGAACCTCTGAACTAGGGGATCACCCAATGAAATTAATAGGCAGCAGGTTTAAAAACAAAAAAAAATGGAGTACTTCTTCACAGAACACACAATTGACTTGTGGCAACAAGCATAACTGGGTTCAAAAAAGAATTAGACCTATCCTCCATGAGATTATCAGTCAATGGCTACTAGCCAAGATGGTCAGGGATGCAATCCCATGCTCCAGGTGTCCCTAAACCTCCAACTGCCAGAAGCTGGGACTAGATGATGGGGGATGGATCACTTGAAATTGCCCCGTTGCGTTCATTTCCTCTGAAGCATATGGCACTGGCCACTACCAGAGACTGGATACTGGCAGACCATTGGTCTGACCCTGTATATGGCCGTTCTTATGTCCATCACCTTGTAATGTACTCATTTTATGAAGAGATGGCAAGGAAATGCTATAAGGTTGCCAAATGAATAAAACTGAAAGAATCTGTCCTACACACGTTACTTGAGAGTAGCTATCTAAAGAGACTTGTTGCGTCTGCTTTATTCGTGTAGATTTCCTGAGAGTTTATTTTAAAAAAAATACTAATTTAACCTGATCTTTATTACAGTCAGATTATGTGTTACAGTGTTGCGCATAATACAATTTGTGTATGTTTCATTTCAAAAGACAACTGCCTTCACTCAGCGCACAGTCAACCTGTGGAACTCCTTGCCTGAAGAGGTTGTGAAGGCTAGGACTATAACAGGGTTTAAAAGAGAACTGGATAAATTCACGGAGGTTAAGTCCATTAATGGCTATTAGCCAGGATGGGAAAGGAATGGTGTCCCTAGCCTCTGTTTGCCAGAGAGTGGAGATGGATGGCAGGAGAGAGATCACTTGATCATTACCTGTTAGGTTCACTCCCTCTGGGGCACCTGGCATTGGCCACTGTCGGTAGACAAGATACTGGGCTGGATGGACCTTTGGTCTGACCCACTATGGCCATTCTTATGTTCTTGTCTTCGCTGCATAGGAAGGGCTAAGGGAATTGAAACATGTAGAACAGTTCATAATCCTTACTTTGAAGGTTAAAACTAAAGTTTTAAACACTTGGCATCATTAGGTATTTAGTCTCTGATCATTATATCTGACCTTTGCACTGACACACGTGCTAGTAACTAATCATGATAGATGTAATAAACGCTGCAATGGCAGATTAAAACCACTGCCAGAAAAACTAACAGAGACTAATCTTGGCATCTCTTGTAAATCCAAATGTGGGGCATTACAGCTCTCCTTTTCATAAAGATCTAGTGGAGTGTAAACCTGCTTGGCAGTTTATCACTTGCAGCTACATATTAAGTTTTCCTATTTCCCTTGCAATCGATGTAGATGCTAGTGTGAATTTCTGAAGTATCGGGAAAGGCACTACAAACTTTGTTTGCATTTGGGGTTTCTGCTCTCATTTCCTGCATATTTTCAAGTTACCCTGACATCAGGCATGCAAGGTGAGATGAAGTGTAGTTTCTTGAGAAAGGGAGGAATCTACTTTTTCCCACATGTTGCTCTTGTTCCATTACACCTAAAGTATAGTCTGTCAGCATAGGCTGCTGTTCAGTGGGTTCTTTATTATGCATTAAAGCACCTAAATTCAGAACTCTAATCTTCATGTTTTATGCTCAGTCACCTTTCACTGTTGAAGAAACCATGAATGTTTCCAATGTCTTTGAGACTAGCAGACAGGGAAAGTTAATCTGAAATGGGTCACACTGAGATTCTGTTGGTTAATCCACATGCTATTCTTGTATGAATCCTGTGTCACGTGCCCGTGGGTTGCAAAAGGATCTAACCAACAGCTATCAGATTGATCTTTTAGTAGTTTGTTTGTAGCAGTGCATAGCCCTAGATGAACTTGTAATCACTTCTTAAATTACCTAAAATGTAAAGCCATCAACCTTCTAATGCTGTAAAAGATTAAGTAGAATATTGGAAGCTTTGATTACATAATTAGTAGGCCACTTACAAGAGTAATTGCTCCTAATCTAGAAATCTTTCAGACAACTTCAATGTGGATGATTTTGAACATTTAGCATCCAACTGTGTAAAATGTGGTTAAATTTAGAACCTAATACTTCAAGAAATATTCTATGTTCAACTTCTTTACAACAAACTAGTTCACAATAACGTGAACTTGATTTTAAACTTCTTCTAAAGATAATGAAGCAAATAACTAAGCAATCAATTTGCACACACTTATCACCTTATTTTCTAGGTAACATTCAACATGGATTTGGTGAGAACAAACCATGTCAAACCAACCTAATGGCTTTCTTTGACACTGTAACAAGCCTAGTAGATAGGGGAAGCAGTAGATGGGGTATAACTTGATTTTAGTAAGGCTTTTGATACTGTGCCACATGACTGTCTCAAGCAAATTAGGCAAATACAACCTCGATGGAGCTACTTTAAGATGGGAGCACCCCACTGGTTGGAAAACTGGTCCCAGAGAGTAGTTATCAGTGGTTCACAGTCAAACTGAAATGACCTATCAAGTGGGGTCTCTCAGACATTAGTTCTGGGTCTGGTTCTATTCAGTATGACAGAGAGAGTACACTTATAATGTTTGTGGATGATACAACCCTACCTGCATGGTAAGTGCTTTGGAGAACAGGAATAAAATTCAAAATGATCTGGAGAAATGGTCTGGAGTAAATAAGATGAAATTCACTAAGGACAAATGCAAAATACTCCACTTAGGAAGGAACAATCAGTTGCACACATACAAAATGGGAAATGACTGCCTAGGATGGAGTATTGCTGAAAGGGATCTGGGGGTCATAGCGGATCACAAGCTAAATGAGTCCATGTAGCACTGTTGCCCAAAAAAAAAAAAAAAAAAAAGCAAACATCATTCTGGCATGTATTAGCCAGAGTGATGTAAGCAAGGCCCAAGAAGTAATTCTTCCGCTCTGCTCTGATTAGGCCTTAACTGGAGTATTGGGTCCGGTTCTGGGTGCCACATTTCAGGAAAGATGTGGACAAATTGGAGGAAGTCCGGAGAAGAGCAACAAAAATGATTAAAGGTCTAGAAAACATGACCTATGAGGGAAGACTGAAAAAAATTGGACTTCTTTAATCTGGAGAAGACAACTGAGATGAGGCATCACACTTTTCAAGTACATAAAAGGTTGTTACAAGGAGGAGGGAGAAAAAATTGTTTTTGTTAATCTCTGAGGATAGGACAAGAAGCAATGGGCTTAAATTGCAGCAAGGAAAAGAGACAGCTAAGGGGAGATATGATTGAAGTCTATAAAATCATGACTGGTGTAGAGGAAAGTAGATAAGGAAGTGTTGTTTACTACTACTCATAACACAAGGACTAGGGGGACACCAAATGAAACTTATAGGCAGCAGGTTTAAAACAAATAAAAGGAAGAATTTCTTCACAACATGCACACTCAACCTGTGGAACTCCTTGCCAGAGGATGTTGTGATGTCCAAGACCCTAGCAGGGTTTAAAAAAAGAAATACCTAAATTCATGGAGGATAGGTCCATTAATGGCTATTAGCCAGGAATGGTGGCCCTAGCCTCTGTTTGCCAGAAGCTGGGAATGAGTGACAGGGGATGGATCACTTGCTGATTACCTGATTTGCTCATTCCCTCTAGGGCACCTGGCACTGAACACTGTTGGAAGACAAGATACTGGGCTAGATGGACCTTTTGTCTGACCCAGTAGGGTCATTCTTATGTAAGGGCAATTTAGGTTGGACATTAGGAAAAACTTCCTGTTGGGTAATTAGCACTGGAATAAATTGCCTAGGGAGGTTGTGGAATCTCTATCACTGGAGATTTTTAAAAGCAGGTTAGGAAAACACCTGTCAGGGATGGTCTAGATAGTACTTGGTCCTACTGTGAGTGCAGAGGAGTAGACTAAATGACCTCCTGAGGTCCCTTCTAGTCCTACAAGTCTGTGGTATTTCTGGTCCAGGAATGACTTAGTGCATATTTGTAAGCAGGGTACCTGGAACTTTGAAGTATTTGTGTGTAGTAAAATCCATATAGACATGTTCAGATGAGGGAAAGCCTAAGGTGTTTCTAATAGCAAGGGACTTAAGATGGTTTAGTACTCTTACATGGGAAATCTTTATCCTAGGCTTTCTAAAAGCAGTTTCATCACTACAAAATAAACAACCTGCTAAGTTTCTTGAATAAAGAGGATTACAGTGAGAACATTTCATACAGAATTAAAAAAGCAGACCTTTGATTGGGATTATATAAACTAGAATACCCCTTGTGGGTAATTAAAGTTTGTACTAATTTGTACTTCCTGATAAATAGTAACCCAAATATCAGTTTCCATTTTTAAGACTAAACTGAAATCAGTCTCCTTAAATTTAGGGCAGCTTCATACACTAGAAATTTATTCTGATTTGATAGGGTTTGCCCATGCAAAGTAAAAACCCAGTGTTGCAGCTGGTACATTGCATAATTACAAACTGGAAGTTGTAATTTAAATCATCCTTATTCTAATTTAAGGAAACCACATGTAGCATGGTGCCTTGTTCTTTACTCTGAGATTTAAAAGTGCTAATGGGCTCTCGTTTCTGGATAACACTCCAGAGCTATTTAAGGGTACAATGTCTTTCCACAGTTCTGCAATCAAAACTAATGTACATTGTATTATTCTTGACATTTATGGGAAACAAACTGAAAATCCTGATTTAAGAATTTAAAGTTAAAACTTACACTAAGTAGAATTAAACATTTTTAGCAGTGTGAAGATGGTAACTGCAAATTATTTTATAGTACCTTACAAAGCAAGTGGAGCTCTTACGTCAGATGAATGACCAGCATGCAAAGGTCTATGAACAGCTGGATGTTACAGCAAGAGAACTGGAAGATGCTAATCAAAAATTAGTTGCGGATAGTAGAGTGTCACAACAAAAGATATTAAGGTAACTAAAGTTTTGTGGAACAACTCTTTTTATATTGAAGAAGTGGAAAGGAATACTATTCTGAATGTATTAGTTTATGCATTTTTGGGAGGCTTGTTATCCATTGTCTAATCAGTGGGCTTTTGGATTGAGTATGTGGTTTTGTTTCTCACTGGTAACTGTGGAGCAGTTTCCAGAGGAAGAAACACCAAAACTGAGTGGATAGTGACTGAGTTTATGCTATTGGTTATGCCCTTGACTTAACATGACTGGCTTTAACAGCTTTATATGTTCATGAACTTCAGCCTGACAGAGACTATTGAAAGTCTGCAAACCCATATAGATGACCTTCAGAGACAAGTGGAGGAATTGAAGAAATCTGGACGAGGCCATATGAACCATGAGAGATCTGAGCAGCCACGATCAGTGCACAGCTTCTCGTGTTTGAAGGAGCTGTATGACCTTCGCAAGTAAGACGCTAACTCAGTTATGTCATTTTACTTGTGCAAGCAGATTTTTTTTAAATCTTTCATCCATTTGTTTGCAGCAGAGCAGAGAAATCAGACGTGCATTTCTAGAAAATCTGTCAGTGTCACTCCAGACAAATGAGTTTAAGACCAAAGCAGTCATCACAAGCCTACTTTTTCCAGCTTGTCTCATCACTTAATCATACAGAGAATGTTAGTGTAAACACTTTGTAGCCTTCCCTATTCTCTGCTACTTTTTCTGACAGTTCCCTAGAATGCTACCTTTGGGATTTCCTTCTGTTCTCTTCCTTATTCCCCAGGCAGAATAGTTGTCAGACATGTAATAAGACTAATTTGGAACAAATCATGCAACATCAATAAAGCAAACATTGCACAGAAACTTAACATTCAAAGGAGCTGATTTTAGACCAGCAGAAGTCAGAGTTCAGGATTACGAGGAGCAATTGAATCTTAAAACTTGATCTGCTAGACGTAGTTACTGCAATATATTCTCTGTTGGAGATAGTGCAATACTTAAGCATGATATGGGATAAAAACTGAAATTTAGCCTTGACCTCTTAACTTCTAAACTCTAGTGAGTTAACCTAGGCTACTAATATGGGTAACTTAAGAACAGAATAACATGAGTCAAGAGCTGATATAAAGAAGCATACTCTATGTACCATGGTGCACAGTAAAACTGTCTTTTCAGTTATGTGCACTCAAAATCTGCTATCCGGAGCTAAATATTGTAATTGCTAATCTACATTATGTTCAAGTTAAAACAAGTATGTCAAGCTATTAAATTTTTAAGCTTTAATATTGACACTTCTATAATGCATACTAAAGAGTTTTTTTTTTTTAATTAGAATTACAAAACATGCTTATATGAAACTTTATCAGATTTCTGACAGTGGGTTTTATGACCATTCTGGGCATTAAGGTTTTATAGTGGAAATGCTGAGACTTTTAAACTACAGAATATGGATCTCTTATAGTTTGCAGATCCATTTCATTACGAGAATTTGTACTAGTTAAAGGGGAAAAACGTATTGGATCATCATGCAGTCTATCTTCTCCCAATACTAGGAATGTTCTGTAGAAAACTGTATTTTGTGGCCTCAAAGAAATACTCTAGAAAGTCTCAAGAATGCTGGTTACAGATCTGCTTGTACAGTAGGTTTTATATCTACAATTTGGTATTGCAATTAAGGACCTGCCATACCACCTGAATTGGGAACCATGTATCACTGGGTAGCGAATTTACTACAGCCCTGTAGAAAAGCAGTCTGTTTGATTATTGACGCATTGTAATTTTGTACAAATAGATACTTTAAATTACCAAGCTGGTTCCGTTTGGAAACCAGTTTTCTTCAACAGGGAGTTTTAAATTAAATCTCTGTATTATTCAGAAGAGGCAGCCTAAAAGTCATAGGAAATCTAAGCTCTGACACTTTTTGTTTCTGCAGGTATTTTGTTTACGATCATATTTTTGCAGAAAAAATTACTTCAATGGATAGTCAGCTGAGTCCCATAGAAGAAGAAAATGAGAACTTAAAAAAGGCATTGACTGTATTAGAAGCCCAACTTAATCTGGAAAAGGAGAAGAGAGTGACAATGGAAGAGGAATATCAACTTATGGTAAAGGAGAACTGTGACCTTGAACAGAGGCTGGTTGATAAAGACTTATACCAGGCTCGGGCAGAAGAGCTTGAATTGGAAGTGGCTGAAATGCGGCAGATGTTTCAGTCTGAAAACACATTTGTCAACAGCATGGAGAATCTGGTTCCAGAATCATTCTTTATTTCATTTAAAGAGTCTTTAGAAAGGGAAATTAGTCAAAGCCCTTCAGAGGATGCATCCTTGACTGTCCCCCAGCTTGATAAAAGGGCCCTAAAAAGAAGTAGCAGTGAGACCTTCCTAAGCAGTGCTGCAGGTGGAGACCTTCTAAAGGGCCATGAAGAAACCTGTATTAGAAGAGCTGAAGCTGTGAAGCAGCGAGGCATCTCCTTGCTTAATGAAGTGGATGCTCAGTATAATGCTCTGAAGGTTAAGTACGAGGAACTTCTGAAGAAGTGTCAAATGGATGAAGATTCTTTGAAACATAAGGCTGTACAAACATCAAAACTGTGTTCCAAAGACTCTAGTGTGGGGAACATCCAGTCTGACCGTTCAGCTACTGATCAAGAGTATGGAAATGTTGAACTCACTGGCTCACCCACAAATACTATACCTGAATATAAAGCTCTCTTTAAGGAAATTTTTAGTTGTATCAGAAAAACAAAGCAAGAAATAGATGAACATAGAACAAAATATAAGCGTCTCTCTTCTCAGCCCTAACACTTGTTTTGTATTAACTATGCTGATGACCTGTTTTCCCACTGAAAAGTTCTCTATTAGTCCAGAAGGGAAACATTAAGGGTCCCTCTGGTGTTTGTACATATCTTGCAGTCATGTGTACTCTCCCTTCAACTTGAATGTATGTTCACTTTACCTGTAAATATGTATGATATGGTCAACCCATATCATTCTCTGTTGTATTCTCTGTGCACGCAATGACCCCTACCACACAGCAGAAGTTATTGTTCAGTGGTAGTTGTTGGCAGTCTTAAAAGTAGAAAAATTGGCTTAATTTTTGCATACTGAGTTTGTCCTCTCCACAGCAGCAACTGACAATCTAGCTCACTATGCCCAGTGTGCTACAGAAGCTGTAGACCTAAGGAGAAATGATTGTATTATACTTTTTCCACTGAGAAATTTGGAGTAAATTTTTTCCTTATTTCACAAATGAAAAAGGTTACGTTCAGTCTTAGCCTTATGGCTATTTTTGTTTACTAAAATACCACCTGTGGGAAACCTCTGCTTCAGACTCAAATTAGTAATCAGTCTAAATGGATGTGCCCTGGCTATTATTGGGGATATTGGGGAACTGGCACAGCAGCCTGTATTAGGTTTAATTTAAGCCAGTACCAGGTTTTCATATGCAGTAAACTCTTTCCCCTTAGCATAAATGTCTTTATATTAAAAATGGATTAGGTGTAAAGGTATGAATATTTGAGATAGTTCAATGTTTTAAGGCAGGATACTGTGAACTATGTATATTGTCTCTGATGTACTGTTCCTTATTAGTATGCCTAAAAGTGCATTTTTGTCATGTGATAAGATGGAACATTACAAGTTGTGGTAGTTTTGCCATGAAGGAATGGCTTCCTTTAATCTATAAAGCCTCCTACTCCAAGTGTTTAAGGAGACTGGACAAGGAAGCTTATCGGATGATGATCATCGCTTTACACCATTTTAGCTCAAGCTTGTGTAGACCTATTTAATATCAGCAGTAAAAACAAAACAAAAACCACCCCCAAGCCTCTTTAAGAACCAGAATACAACGTGTAAGAGATGGCATCAAGATATCGTTAAATCCTCTTTGCTCCTTCCTTCTCTTTCCATCCCTCCTTCCCAATAAAATAGATTGCAAGACCAACTTCAACTAATGAAAATGCAGAATATGAATGAACACTGCCTCAAATGGGAGGAGGAAAGGCAGGACATGGTAAAGGCTGAGAAACCAAGAAGAAATGGAAGCCAGATAACCAGCACTAAAACGTGATCTGATAATTTTACAAGAGTAGGAATGCAACTTAACTCTTTAAAGTGTTGACTGTTAGTCAGTGTTTGCTATAGATAAACGTCTACTTGAGTTGTCTAGATAAACTGTTGGCATATGATGTTAAAAGAAACTTTACAGCTGTAGTTAAGTTGCTGCGACTATTATAAATTCTTGTCTGCCTCCTACAATGTAAGTTAGGCTCCAGTTATTTTATACTTGTCCTTCAGTAAGACAGTATTCCGTTTTTATAGGTTGGACACTTACACTGTAAGCAGTTGTGTACTGAAATAAACACCTATTTAAAAAAATAAATTCTAAATTATGAATACTTTTCTGAAAGGCAAATAAATCCCTGCAGCTGAAGTTAGTGGGTCTGTGCTGCTAATTTTGTCCAAATGTGTGAAACTACCACCAATGCAAAGAAGGGGTTCTTAGTCACTGTGGATGGCATCTTCATTTATATAGATTCACTTCCCCCTCTCAGCAGGGATTTCAGACTTGCTGGCCTATACCACCCTTGCTTAAATGAAAAAACTAATTAGGGAAATAAAGACTTAAGAGGGATGTGTCTGTGTGTGGGAGGGGAGTAGACTAATCTCGCCTTTCTTCTCCTCCTCCCTCCCATTCCACAATCCCCTCTAGGTGAGAAAGTTGCTTCCCTGTACCCTTGGGGATGGCTGTCTGTTGCAGTTCCTGTTTCGTGACTCATTATGTAGCAAGGGCAACTACTGCAGGCAGCAATGTTGGCAACTTGTTCCCTGCTTTCAGGCTGGGGGACTCCAGAAGCAGAGGGAACCTGCTGCCACAAGTGGTTCACCACTCATTTGTGTTACTGTAGTGCCTGAGAATGGGAACCCTACTCTGAGCAGGCCTCTACTGGGCTAGGTGTGTATAAATGGAACAAAGAAAAGCCCCAGCCCAAAGAGTTCATAGCCTAAAACCTAGGTCGACTTACCACAGTAGTGTAGACATAGCCTATGCTATGCAACTCCAGCTACGTACCTTAGGTTGAGTTAGTGCGGAGTCTACACTGCAAGAGTTGACAGGAGAAACTCCTGTCAACTTACCTTACTCTTCTCATCAGGTATAGTACAGGGGTCAACTGGAGAGTTATCTGCTGTTGATTTGGTTGGTCTTCACTAGCCCTGCTAAATCAACTGCTGGTGGATCGATCTCCGCATTGATCCCGGCTGTAGTGTAGACATAGCCGAAGGCAGACAACAACTAGCTTGAGACAGAGTATAAGGAAACAATGGGGCACTAGTGGTCAGTATGATAGGTTGTGGCATCAGCCAGCCATTATGCTGTCTGTAGGCATCACAGAAGGAAGGGTTTTGAAGGAGGATAAGTTTTGCAGACATATACAGGGAAGCTCCTCCCACCTGAGGGGCAACATTGGCAAAACACAAAGGAGCTTGTTTGAAAATTTAACAACTGGGTGATGGAAGCACAGGCTGAGCTAGTAATAGGAGTAATTTTAATACTGAATGAGAAGGGTTGAGAAGGAAAAGGCCCAGACCAGTGTTTCTGCCACTTCAGCCTCATTTTCTACTGTACCTGCTTAGTAACTACATAATCTGATTTGTCAATCATGTCTAATTGCTCCTAGTAGTTGCCCAGCTATTGATTGTTAAATGGCTCAGGGTTTAACGAAGAGTTTGGTATACAGCAGACATTTGCCTCCTTTTTCTAAGCCAGTTATCAGACATGGCTATAACAACCTCTTGACATATACAACAAAATTATCGGCAGTACAGAACTACAGCACCAAAGCATCTGCTGTCACTGGATAAGTTTTTTTTGTTTGAGTGACTTCCCCTTTTTAAAAAACAATCTAACTTTCAAATACTTGCCTATTATATACAGCGTCATAAAACACAGGGTGCTAACAGTACAAATTCAGTTAAAGACAGAGGGGGAAGGCAAAGATGACTTTTGGATAACTGATGCTTGAATATGTTTTGTTACAGCTTAATTCTGAAGTGGGAATATGTTGGAAAAGGTGAAACATATATAAATACTAATCTTCATGAATGCTGCTACATTTTAGAAACTTTATGGATACAGTTACAGGAATAGATAGAATTGTCATTGTAGCTATATTGATTGTGCTCAAACCTTACAAGCATTCAGAAAAATACCTGAGACTTCAGAGGCAATAATCAGTTTGAAGCTAGTTTGCTCTCGATGGACATAAAACAGCATCTTCCTGTGCTAATAATGAAAGATAAACTTCATGTGAGTAAACTAGAAAGTATGTTGAGTTTTAGTTATTCAAAAACTTGGGCAGTAGGATGTTGTCCAAAGGAAGATGGAGATGCTGTGTAAATACAGTAAGTTATTTAGTCAACTAACCAAATTAATCCTAATTGCTAGAACAAACTTACTTATTTCAGCCAAACAACCCACTTAACCATAAGTGAGGTTCTGAGGTAGTCGGTTGTTTTCACCAGATAAGCTGAAACTACAGCTGCATGCTCAAATCTTAACTTCAGCACAAGCAGAGTGAAGAGTAAACACAAGAAATGGTAAAAATATGCCATACTCATTGATTAAAAGATTAGTTAGTTCTCATGTCCCCTTTCCAATTCTCACACCTGCTCTTAAACGTAAATCTTAGATAATAAAATCCTTGTGGCAGAGTACTATTTATTTTGTTTTAACAGGGCCCCCTACTCTTACTTGGAGGGGAGGGGGGCTCTAGATCAGAGCTGGGCAAACTATGGCCCATGGGCCACATCCAACCTATGGGACTGTCTTGCCCAGCCCTTGAGCTCCTGGCCCCTCCCCTACTGTCCCACAGCCAGGCTGGCAGCACTCTGGGCAGCAGGGTTGCGCGCTCCTGCTGAGCAGAGCAGTAGCGTGTTTAGCTCTGGGCAGCACAGCTGCCAGACATGTGGCTCTGAGCAGCTTGGTAGGGGCCAGAGGATTGGATGGGGTGGAGGTTCTGTGGTCAGGGGATGGATAGGATCCCAGGGAGCGGTTAGGGGATGAGGAGCAGGGTAGGTTCTGAGGGGGGCGGGAGGGGGATAGCCTTCCCTACCTGGCCCTCCATACAGTTTTGCAACCCCAAAGTGGCCCTCGGGCCAAAAAGTTTGCCCACCCTTGCTCTAGATGCTACCATAATTAATACTAAGTGATTTGTAACAATATGTAGTACTTAGCTGAGGAAGGGGAAAGGGGTAGGTAGGGATAAGCTAAAGGTCATTCTCTGTTAACATTTTCTAGTCCATAAAAGATTACATTGCTTCTATCTGTTCACAGACAAACACATGGGGGTCAGAGGCTGATGCCATAGTCCATCTTCAAGATAAAATTTTATTTGAAAAAGTTACATAAAATATAGATTTTACATCACCAAATGTGATAACTACAGTTGGACACCTTTCAGATGGTGCATAAGATTACTTACCTTGTTATACCAGCATCTAGTTATGCAAAAAAAAAATCAAGTAGAACACACTACATCTGCTTTATATGTAATTACTTTTGAAAACAACTTGTGTCATGTAAACAATTGGTGAGACTGTTTTTGCTATGTATAATTAGTAAAATGTTAGACAGGGATTTTTCCCCTGAAACCCAGGTGCATACAAAATTTTCATGAGCATTCATAGGTTTGTTTAAGTGGGAAGAGGGAGTGCTTTAACACACAGACTACATCATGACCTGCTAGGCATATAAGAAAAGTTGGATGTTTGTAAACAAGAGACTTACCATTTATTGGCATTAATTACAAAATAAAATATTAGACCATGATTTTCCATCATGTCTGTGTCAGTATATGTTTTTATTTTATTAGAATGAAATAATGAGAAGCAAAATACATTAGGAATCCCAAATTCATCAAATTGCAGATAGGGTCCCACATTTTTCTTCCTCGATGCTCTTTGTGTTTAGGCGGCCATGCAAACAAGTGCGTGAATGTTGACATCACTAACCGTCTTTCTGCAGTGCCCATGTGGCCACAAGTAGGTCAGATTCTCCCCTTGCTCCCTGAAGCAAAGGCATTATTCTGTCTATGCCCACTGCAGTTTTCCTCCTCTGTCCTGGAGATAACGGAATGAAAAGCTCACCACTGTTGTCAAGACTGCACTGTCCCTTTAAGGTACCACATTCCAGCATGGCTTACACAGCAGTCCTGGGGAGAATGGGAAAAGCAGTTACTAATGCTGAAAAGTCTAGTGTTAGAGTATTACTGATCAGCCTTAGAGGCAGAAAGCTCCCAAATCACAACAGATTCCAAGAAGCAGACACAAAATGTAAAAATCAAAAGTGTATAGTAGCAACATTGGTGCACATACTGTACCCATTTACAGCAGGGCAGAATCTGGCCCATGAACCCTACCTTAACTATGATGGTACTAGGAATACTAGACCAATTAAAACTTTTCCCATGGCTCAGAACAGACTAGTTAAACCATGGGATGGGATCCAGCAATCCTAATAGGACTAATTCCACAAGTCAGGGTTGCAAGATTGCAACCCATTGGTTGAACGGGGCCTTTTAAATCTGTAATTTATTGTTATGATTGTCCCTAAAGACCAACCAAGAACAGGGTCCCATTGTAGTAGGTGCTATACAAACACAGAGTAGCAGACAGTCCCTACATAAGAATGGCCATACTGGCTCAGACCAATGGTCCATCTAGCTCAGTATCCGGTCTTACGACAGTGGCCGATGCCAGATACTTCAGAGGGAATGAACAAGGGATCTATCCCTTCCCATACAATCCCAACGTCTGCTAATCAGAGTCTTAGGGACACCCAGAGCATGGGGTTGCAACCCTGACCATCCTGGCTGATAGCCATTGATGAACTTTTCACACAACGCCCAGTCAACCCGTGGAACTCCTTGCCAGAAGATGTTGTGAAGGCCAAGACTATAAACAGGATTCAAAAAAGAACCAAAGTTCATGGAGGATAGATCCATCAGTGGCTATTAGCCAGGATGGACAGGGATGGTGTCCCAAGCCTCTGTTTGCCAGAAGTCAGGAATGGGCAACGGGGGATGGATTACTTGATGATTAACTGTTCTGTTCATTCCCTCTGGGGCACCTGACATTGGCCACTGTCGGAGGACAAGATACTGGGCTAGATGGACTTTGGTCTGATCCAGTATGGTTGTTGTTATGTAATTCTTTTTTGAACCCAGTTATAGTTTTGACCTTCACAACATCCCCCAGCAACAAGTTCCACAGGATTGACTGTGCCCAAAGAGCATACAATCTAAACAGACAAGACAGGCACACAGTGGGTGGTAAGGGACAGAACCACACAAGCAGAGTGAACAACGTGATGGGAACATGTTAGTTACACAATTTTTGTGTGTGTGTTTGTTGGGGGTGGTCAGCCAAACAGAAAGGAAAGAACAGCCAATCACCAAAGGCAACAGTGCAGAATCAAACCCTTTCAGAGTTAAACTGTTAAACCACTGGATTATATTTTGACCAAATTATTAACTACACACCTGACAAATATTTTCAGGATACCTGAGGCATCTACATGAACTAAGTGTTTTGTTTTTAGTGAGCATCAACGGTGTTGAATTTTCATTTTACACACACTCTACGGTAGGTAAATTCAACAAGAGCTGATGTACCCCTTATGACTGAAAACACACAGCTTTAAGGGAAAGGAGTTTTTGTTTTGTTGTAAGTTACTAGACCGGGATGGGCAAACTATGGCTTGTGGGCTGGATGCAGCCCGCAGGATTGCCACCCCAGTGGTGCTACGGGCCCCGGGCCTCTCACCGGCACCACATCCCTGCAGAAGGGGGCAGAGGGCTCCATGCCTTAGTCTTTCCTGTGAGTACCTTCCCCGAAGCTCCCATTGGCTGGGAACCACAGCCAATGGGAGCTTTGGGGGAAGTAGCCACAGGCAAGAGCAATGCACAGAGCTCTCTGCCCGCCCCCACCAGGAGCCGAAGGAACACGGTGCCAGCCGTTTCTGGGAGCGGCGCGGGGCCGGGAACCTGCCCTAGCCCCAGTGCATGCAGCTGCCACCCCGGGTAAGCGGCACCGGGCCAGAGCCTGAACCCCTCCCGCACCCCACACCCCAACTCCCTGCTGCACCCTGACCCCAACTCCCTGTCGTGAGCCCCCTGCCATAGCCCTCACCCCTCCCTGGACCCCAATCCCCTGCCGCAGCCTGCACCCCAACCCCCTGCCCTGAGCCCTTGCTGCACCTTGCACACCAACCCCCTTCCCTGAGCCCCCTCATACAACCCGCACCCCTCCTCTGCCCCAACCCCTTGCCCTGAGCCCCTTCCTGCACACCACACCCCAACCCCCTTCCCCGCATGCCATTTCACCACCCAGATGTGGCCCTCAGACCAAAAATTTTGCCCACCCCTGTACTAGACCTTTCAGACCACAGAAGCCTAGTACACTGCAATTACTCAATGTTAAAGAAAGGAAACTAGCAAGCTGAAAAGAGGGGTTGACATATCTGCAGACCAAGATTTTAATCATACGTTCCAGACTTATTCCTGATTCTTTCATGCACTGCTCTGACTCACTTGTATTCAGGGGAAAATGAAGACAGACACCACCCCGCACCAGTTCTGGGCATGTGATACAGATGCACAAGCTGCGTGGCTTAAAGTGCATTTACTTCCTACACAGATACACTCCTTAAAGAGCTGCATCATGAAAATGTGCACATATGTTGTTTGGGCACACCTATCTTCTTAAAAATCTGCCTGCACCAGCAGTGTGTGTTAAACTGAACAGGCTCAACATGCTTTAGGTTTATCTTGAATATTAAGACCAGATTCTTCTAATCAAGACCAGAGACACTGAATAAAGCCAAACTGCATATTATCAAAGCAACAGAACCCTAATCTTTCCAATGCACAATTAAATCTACAATACAGGTCTGGATTCTGCAAAGCATTTAAACACATAATTTACTGAAATTAGGGCCAGAGTGACCCAATTCCTAGCAATAATTATTTAAAAGTTATAGGAGTTGGTGGATTTCTATTTAGCAACACCATACCACTTTAATACATGTTAATCAACGCCTGTATTGCCCTCCAGACATTCCCTGTATGTCTCGCAACACCTTACAAACAATGGGTGGCTCTTCCAAAGGCAGAGCATACATGAGGGTTAAACTGGTAAACATTCTTTCATAAAATATTTTAACTGATAAAGGGTTTTGTTGTTGTTGCTGATTGCTGCTTAGGTAACTGTAAGCTCTCCTTGAGAGTAAGAGGATGTATTTTTAATTTGATGTGTGAGGACTGTTCTTACCAACTTCCGTTAATGTTAATGGAAATCCCATGTCTAAGCTCACAACAGGTCATGCTGAAAATTTTCCCCTTAACGTTTAACACAATACCATTTAATAATAATCATGAAAGTACATTTATTACACTTTGTATTAATTGTTAGCCCACATCAGAAAAAGATTTGTTGGGATAACATCATATGATGATGGATTCAAAAGTCAGTGCCCTTTGGTAAAAAGGAAGACTGTAACAAGTATATTTTATATCAAACAGATTGAAAATAAGGCCCTATCCACTTGAAAACAGAAACCACACTAGCAATACCATCATTTTGTGTAACTCCAGACAGAATATGGTCCTTTCTGTGAAGCCAATATATTAAAAGCTCTGGTACTGACTGTATCAAAACCACCGTTAAACAGGAGCTTTGTACATGATTTTTAAACCTGATGAATTACCTTTATCACTCTATCCACATCCTGTTTATTTAGATCCTCTCCACATTCTTGGCTCAACTGATGCTGGATGATGTTCCTGCGCACTCGATAATTTTTGGTAAAGATTTTAAGCAAAACCTGCCGATGCTTTAAAACAAAAGTTTATTTTAACACACAAGAGAAAAATTATCTGCATTATATTTCCAAACATGAAACGAGAAAACCACGGTCGGCTCCAAACAAGCTTTGAGGTACATCATTTGGCACAACACGTTCGCTGAACTGTGTTAAAGAAATCTTCCTTAGTAAATCCCTCTCCAAACAGTCCCATACTAGCATGCTAGAACCATAGCAAGTATAAGAATGATACTTAGCATGTACAGTGTATTTCTGTATTCAAATCATTGTATAAACGTTAGCTAATTAAGTCCTGCAACACCCTTCTGAGGAAGGTATTATCCCCCTTATACAGAGAGAAACTGAGGCAGAGACAGTTTAATTAATGGAGCTAGAATTTGAGCTAAGCTTAGAACTCAGGAGTTCCTGGCCTTCTGCTCACTCCACTGGACTAGATTCTCTATAACGAACATCTAGAGCATGCTGCTGTGGGTCTTTCCTGTGAAAATTGTTTTATATTGTGAGCATGGACTTTCTGCTTCCTTATGTCCCATTACGCTCAATTTACAGTAGTAACAATTAAAAAGTCAGTGGATGCCCACAAGTGCCACAGTTACTTCCCATTCTAGCTATAAGGAAATTCAGACCTCTCAGGTACCGCCATAGGGTAACTATTGGATAATGCTGACTTTTTAAACAGCAAGGAACAGTTTAATATGCTCTAAGGCCTGGTTTGAATGGAGCAGCAAACTGGTGCTACTCACGTCTACAAAGCTATTTACACTAGTGTTTAATGAGCAGCGTATGTTATTGCTTCTGTCCGCTCTCCCATACCCCAGTGAAGCAATCATCACTACTGTGGACTGAGCACTGCCTCCCAGCTTGGAGTAGCTTGGCACTGGAAACCAGACTCCAAGGGGGGGGAAGAGGGGGGTCATGGGAGAGGGGGAGACAGCCCGTTGTATCACTTTTAAAAGCAAGAATGCAAATAATACCAAGCTCCCAGCAACCAGTAATCTGGGAATGACTTGGCTAGATTTACAGCCATGTTTGCCTTTACCTGGTCGTAAATGTCACCAGCTTCCCAAAGTGCATAAACCTTTAATTCATCCGGTGAAACAGCATGAATCTGTGGGGGAAACTAAGAACAGTTTGCACCAGTCAGGGTGGTTGCTTTAATTTTAGTTACAGGCTGTTAAAACACATCATCTTCAATGAGTGAATGTTGGAAGCTCCAGGAACACTTCAGCAGCCTTATATTGCCCCAATTAAGCCAAAGCCATGTTTGATCAGCACCTTTATTCACTATTAGTGAAATTCACTCATGCACTAAGGGTCCACCCACAGTGCCTATGAACTGCTTAAACTTTGTTTTGAGGGTGTAAGTGGGAATTAACTAGCACACAGGGCTTGTGCAGGCTCTCTGCCACTGAGGCATGGGCAGTGGGGGGATTTCACCCTTTGGATGCAACTGCTAAACACAGAGAGCAATGCCTGTGCCTGAATGTTAAAGGATATTTCACGGCATCAAAACATTTAGTTCTCTCTGTAAGCAGCGACTGACACACACATTTGCTTCTATGCTAAAAGTTGCTCTGAGCTGTTCTCTGCTATTGCACGAAGTAGGATTTCACTCTTTCTAGAAGTTTTTACATGGACTATGGCAGTTTTTAGGGTGCCTAGGTGCTACAGTTATACACATATATAAATAAATAGATAGAGAGATACAGTAGAAAGTTTAGATTAGACAGATATTCAATTGTCACTCCTGGAGCCACCAAAAGCATGGGAAAACTGTACCCAACACAGGGTGAGGGAAAAATATGGCATTGCTGAAACACCCATCATTTCTGTCTTGTGGGCAGGCTACACAATCCCACAAGAATGAACAGTAAACTGCTTGTGAAGCCAGCAGACTCAGAAAATGAAACACGTTTAATTTCAAGCACCCACGCAGGGAAACAAGCCTTTGGTTTTTCTCAGCTGCCATGCCCTCATGCCGCTCTCCACCTCACAAGCGATGCAGCAGCCCCCACCTCACCACTCACACACCATACAAATGCTTACATGGAAAAATAAAAAACCTCTCTCTTAGTCCCAACATCTTCCCTCAGAGCATGCTCTGACTCTTGACATAGTTCCTCCTTCAGGTCACTAATAATTCATTCCTTGCCAATGACAACCTAATTTTCAAAATCAACCATCAGAGGCGAACAAACCCATTCAGATTCCCTACCCTATGGCACAGGGATGATCATTTGTTCCATTCCATTTCTTGTCACACTTAATGGTTAGCCGGTACAAAACATACCTTTCCTCCCATCCCTCACAGGCTTAGATGAAAGCCCTGGATGACTGTGCCAGAAATCCTAGTCTTTACATTCACACTTAATTTATACTCTTACTGTAAAGAGGAAAGTTGTTGTTTGGTAGGAGCTACCTGGTGAGATTAACAGCTCAGAATCCTGCATTGCTCCAATATCGTGAGACACATCATGTACATTTTAACAAACTTTAGAATCTCTTGACACTTCAGACTTTTCTCTCCTCAAAGGAATGCTGGCTAATAAAGGCTGGCCTCCTATGGTATGCATATCCCACAGATAAAAGCAGACATCAGATTCTCACAGGAAAATGAATTATGATCAAGGCCTGAGAGAGGGACAATGCGTGGAGCAAGAAGTGTTTATTCCAACACTGTGTTACATATCACTTGCTCTCCTTTGTCTGACAGAGCTCTGAAACAGACCTGTACTGCAAGATGCTCTTTCCCTGACCCAATCACACTACCACGCCTGCATTTATCTTGGCCACTCAGGAACTCTGGTTCTAAGCCAATGTGGTTTTACCAAGCCTCAGCAGCCGGAATGCCTCCAAGGAAACAGATGACTGGGAGCTAAAAATAAATAAATAAACTTCTCATCTTCCCCCTTCATGAAGCGTCTGCAAGACACTATTACCAAGATCATCTCACTCTCCTGCTAATCCCAGTACATCGACCCGCCTCAGGATTTGGGCAGAGGCCAGCAGTCCTTCCTACAGGGCTTCCATCAAGACACAAGGAAGGTGGAGTGGCCCTCCAGTGCCCTTCAAAGACCTAGGAAAGGGATCCTAGTGAGAGAAGGCAGCAACCCTAAGAGGGGGAAGGGTGCCACTACTCAAAGAGGTTAATGGATTTTCCTTGTGTGCAAACATCCTCCCCATGGCACTGTGGAACTTCAAACAGAGGCTCACTCCAAGTGTGAGTGCTGAATGTGACTATGCAGCAAAACTATTTGTTCAAGGCTTCCTTTCCCTTGCCCTAGCCTGTCCTGGACTGTCAGATTGCCTGGAATCTTAGGTTAAAGGAAACAGCCAATTGCATTCAAGTGTAGGTCTACCCAAGACTCGCTCTCTGGATCCCACCACTGTGCTAATGACGGATCATTTCTTTTGGCTTGAAGATATTACAATGGTACCAAGTATGAGCAAGCAAAGTACCTCCGCAATAGGTGCCTAACGGCTTCGATTGCAGCAAGCAGCGTCTCAGTGGATTCTAGTACAAAGACACAGCAACCATTAGACTAACTTGCACTCTAAGCGCATCGGGTCAGAGTCAGTAAATCCTTCATTTCTATGGGAGAGAACTGGTAAAGGCTTTAACCAAGTTTTCAGCAATGCATTTTCTGTGATGTGGCAGTTTGACTGCACCCCTCCTAGAGGGCATTGTTTTCATTACCTCAGTTCATTAGTTTTTAATCACTGGAGCAACTTCATTACAGAAAATTAACATGTAATTATTGCATCAAGTGATAAAATGAAAGGTCCTTGCACTGCTAAGAAGGTCTTGGGTTCCAACGGATCCACCAAGGGACGCAGCCCATGCCCAAGAAAGCCCTATGTCCACATGGAGTGTTTGGTGAGTGTAAACACACCACAACTAATCTCAACCCCCTCTGCGAGAGGCAGGGGAAGGGGCTCCTGGTGGAAAGGATTTATGCTGGTGATTGCAGCAGTGCAGGGTCCCTTTATCTAAACAGTGGGATTTGTAACAAGGCTCATGATAAGCCGTGTGCTTCTAGGAATGACCAATGCACTTGCAGCCAACATTAGACAACAGATGCCACGCTCTGGTGGGCTGGATGGGCCTAAAAGCCTCCACACTGTCCCTTCAGTAGGGAATGTCCGGATTTAAGTCAGGTTCTATATTTAAAGCTTCTGTTACATGTTCCACAGGAGAGAGGCAATTCCCTCTTGCTGTCCAGCTTCCTCGGGAGTTGTTTTTTAAAAAACAGTATGTTCACCTCCTTCCCCATGAAGTTCAAGTAATAATATAATGAAGTAATTTACAAAGTTTCAAAACCAACCCAACCTGAAGAAATGACCGCACCAGCAATGGCCTCAGCTAATTAACATTCGCAGTATGTGCAGCCACATCACATGAAAGAAAGCGAGACCCTGAAACAGCCACAGGACGAGGCTCCAGGTGGAAAACCAGCCAGGATGAGCAGGGATTTAGAAGTCACCGGGCAGAAGGGAGAAGAAATCATTTAATTGGGGACTTTCTCTAGAAGCATTTCAAGTCCATTACTTACCTCCCAGCTGCCACACTGTATACCTACCATGCATGCATGGCCACCATACTATAGTATTCCTACCTCCCCGCAACAGGCCTTGTTCCTTAGCTGAGTCTTAATTCCCATGCTCTAGTACTACTTCTGAATTATTTCCTGCTCCCCTCACTCAGTCCTCCTCCTGACCTTTGTCCTGCCTCCTCCTTCAAGCAGCTGTCCCTTCTCTTTTTCTCTCCCCCAAAAGGCAGTGGACTGCAAGTTCTCTCCCTAGCTGCAAACTGACCAGGACTGCTACCTGGCTTGTAAACTGGTTTCACCCTTAGACTCTCTCTGCATTCACTACAATGGTAGCTCTCTTCCCTCCACTAATTGAGCTATTTTCACACAGTGCTGCAGGAAGTCCTAACTCTCAAACATACAAACATTTCCCTGTCTTTATAGCACCCACAGAAACGCCTACAAGAAAAGGAAATTTAACAGCCATTGACCAAAGGAACGTGGCACAGGCACAGCATGTGACTCCTGCTATATTTTTCCCAGCCACTTGTTGTATTGCCAGGTGTGTCCTGCGCCCCTGAGATAACAGATACCATTGTTCCTTCCACAGCAGCCCTGAGAACAGGGAGCTTGTACAGCCCTGGCTACAGCAAATGGACCTGGGATTTGGATCACTTCAGACTGCTTCGTGGAATCGTGAGGATAACAACTAGTGAAGCACTGGGGTCCAGTCCATAGGAAGCTGTACCTGTGAGTTTCTTTATGCGGACCAGGAGAGCACTGTAGGGGGCCAGCACTCAAGCAAGGATTATGGGAAGCAGGAAGTCAGCCAGCCAAAGCCCCATCTTCAATGGGCCGAGAGGCAGCTGCTCAGAGGGATATCTGTCCCAGCCACACAGTGTGGATGCACTGTGTAGGTCACAGTATGTTTAAAAGCACCCCAGCCACTCAGCACGTGTGCCCTTCCCGACGTGTACAATATAAAGAGGATACTTACAGGCACCAAAATCTGTTTGCAGCCAGTGTCCAATACCATGTCTTGTAACATTTTGTCTGAAATGCCACTAAACAATGTGTGTCCCGGGGGCAGACTGGCTAAGTGAAGATTAAATAACCGTTTAAGCTCACTCAGAGTGAGAACAAACTGTTTCTTAAACGTCTTCATCACAAACGCTTTCAGTTCCTGTGCAACTCGATCCATGCACCCGCCTGGCAAGTGGCCGTTTAACGAGTCCATGGAGTTTTCCTCTGAATGGATCCCATTGACCATGCCATTGTTCATACTCTCATAGGTGGACGCGTCCATAGGCTCCTCGTCGCTCAAAGGCTCCTCTTTAATGCAGACATTGGAAATATCCATCTTGGATGGAGAGTCATTGGCTTTGCTCTCTGCCTTTTTCTTTTGTAACTCTTTCTCCAGCAGCCCATAGTTCTGTTTGACTTTTGCTTTAGCTATATTGACCCTTTGTTCCCCAGAAACCAGAAGTGGGTGAGCTAGTAAGATATAAGAGTAAAACACTGTTAGAGAATCTTGGACATTAATTCTACAGTATATTTATTAAACAGACCTTAGTGAATTAACGGCACTGAACAAAGTTTACTCCAGAGATCCAAGACCCCAAAGTGATTTCAGACTAGATTTTGTTTTTAAAATAATTGAACAAGCAGAGAAAAATTTCAATAACTGCTAGCAAGATACTTAGGGCTTGACTTTTCAGAAGTATCAAGCCCACGGCCACGGGAAAACATGCTTGTGTGAGTCTTAGAGCCCTGTGTGAATCAGGAATTGCACATACAACTGCACACACATTTCTGCTTGCACCCCTAGACTCCCGACATCTTTGTAAGAGAAGATTTTTCAAGAGAGGCTGGATGCCCATAGAATTGCTGCAAGGAGAAAACCAGCTGCAGCAATTGCTATAGCTACTACACAGGATGTTGCATGCTTGCAAATGGGAGAATGGATGGGAAAGTGATTTGAGTGACCGCTGATCAGAGGGAAGGTGGTGAATCCAGCAGACCTTCTCTATTAGGATATGGTCCATAGCACGAAAGAGATCGAGAACCCCTTTTCTGTAGTAACTACAGAGTCTGGAAATGGGGAGTCCTCTCCCTCCCTAATCCCGGCCACCTTTGTACATCCATTCTCAGCAAATGGGGGTGTGACAGAGGAATTGCAAGTTTCAGTACCAAGGGAGTAAGATAAAGTACACTATGTTTTATAGTAAACTGCATGCACGTACTCAGCACATACTTATCTTCTATGCCATTAGGCCTACTAATTCTTTTCCAAATAACCCAACACCTAATCCTTCTCAGCAGATAAGATAGAGGGTATTGAAATGTATTCATGTGTCCATTTGTCAGTTCTGCTTGCAGTCTCCATGGACTCCAATGTCTGGTAAATAACCAAGTACTTAGCTCAAACTCCCTGGAATCTCAAGTTTTCATAACCTCTTATGATTACAGAACAGCTGCTTTAAACTTTCACTGGCTGCAATGGTGGAGAATCACCTTGAAAAGAGAAGGCCTTGTACCTCCTTAGACCCCCTGTTAAACTAATTCTTCACTAATAGCTTAACCATCACCCATGGCAGAACAGAGTAGGGGAGCTGCTAATTTCCACGGGTTTATAAACTATGGGGCTATCACAATGGTGAGAATAACTCTGACAACTGCGCTGCCCTTAATGAGGAAGTAGAGTCTATTACACACATGAATTCTCTGCGCTGGGGAATCCTCAGTTGTGCCTATATGGCAGTTTTAAGGTTGCCTTGTCCCACCCTGGTGGTTTAAGCTCACCTTAATGTAGCCCAGAATCTGCCCCAAACAATCAAAAGGGAAACTGCAGACTCATCTCCCCTCCCCCCCAAAAAAGAAGTGACGCACAGAAATTACACTAGAAACACAAACAGGAGAGTATATTTCATAATGATCTTAACCATTAGTATACCTGATTGTCCATCTTGTTTCTTTGGTGTCAAATGTTCCTTTAATAGATTATAGACCTTTTCTAATCTGAAATTTAAGAGAAAATACACAAGGAGTATTTTTTTTTAGTTTGGCATTCCTACACCCGAACACAGACATTTCGGCTTTAGCTCCTTTGGCATTTTTGAAAGGCTAAAGCATTTGGAGATGGTCAATGGCCCAGTGAAATTGGGAACCATGGAACAGTCCCATCATACAACTGCCCTTTAAAAGGGACATATAGAGGAAGTGCAGATCAAAATACTACCATGCTACAATCTATAGTCATGGGACAGTTGGTACTTGTACGTCTTTAATTTATCCCCCAGAAGAAAGCAAATCATTTACTTGGCCTGAATGCCCATCCACAGCATATTCTGCCTCTGAACCACATCTGGATGCTTTTTAACAAAGTCTTCATCATAAGGGAGCAAGAATTCCCAGCCTTTGTTTATTCTTGCAATAGACATGTGCTCTAAGAAGTCCTTCACATCTTCCGGGCAAAGCTGAAAGAAAGAAAGAAGTGTAACAGGTCAGGGAAACCGCACCTGCAGCCATACAAACCTGGGCTGTGATATCACCAAATAAGAAGAGTTGGGCTGGATTAAGGTTTGGGTAGGAGACTGCCAAGAAAAGCAGTCTCCCGGCAATTCAACAGGAGATGGTCTTCCCTCTGAGTCAGTACCAGGATGGACCATATTTCAGAAGGGACCTAAAGCTAAGAAGTAGTTAAATAGTCTGCAGCACTTTTTGCAAAACTAGGGGAGTTATCCCCAATATCCTGAACAAACTGCACTGTGGATAATTATATTCCACATATCTAAGCGTTCTCTGAAGTTTAGACTTCTTGGTTGCTGTTAAAAGCCCAGAGGCGGCTGCATTTCAGCTATAGGTGAAGCAACCCTCTAGGTACACATCCATCTCCACCGCTGGCAAAGTGCATTAGAAAATTTCAGAATGCAAGATTATTAAATCCCTACATAAAATTAACTCATTCTGTCATTTTATTTTGTGTGATTTTTTTTTAAATCCTTACAGTGCTTTTTCACTTTTAATCCCATTTACTTTACAGATACTAACGTGCTTGAGCAGATGATTCAGCGATCAGGTGCCTGAGTTGCTCTTAAGCAATTAAGAGCTACCCTCCCCTGAGGAGGATGAATGTTTTGATTCGTCATGCATTTGCGGTCTCCACTATGCAGTACACATCTGAAGCAACACTGTCCTAGGTTAGCAATAATGGGAATTAGCAGTGAAATGTGTCAGGTAATGTCCTAAAGTCAGCAGTAAAATGGGTCACCACTGTGTGCGGTGCTAGGAGGAAAGGCAAGCATCAGTGTGAATTAGCCACAAATGCAGCTATTGACAATTCCCACTGCTTATCATATGCCCCTGGTTTAGAAAAAATTGTTACTCACTTTTGTGACTGTGGCCACTTCCTTTCGCACGACCCAGCGATCCTGTGTAAACTTCCACATCTGGGGGAAATAAAGAGGGGGGGCAGGGAGACATATTTTAGGAAGCTGCATTACTAAAGAACAGATGCACTGTTGTGACAACGGCATAACCAGAAACCAGGAACCTTTCAAGAATGCAGGGGTGGGCAATTCTCAGCCAGGCAAGTGGGTCAACTGGGGCAAATACAGACCTGGCATGGTCTATTCCTGTAGACATTTTCCTTGAATGATAAGAAAGGACACAAAAACAAAAGTTCTAGCGAAATCCAAGATTTGCCTTGGTGAAGCTGTGGCGGAAATTGCACTTAGATCCTCTGAAATTTACATCAAACATGGTTTAAAAAAAAACAAACAAACAAACATGACAAAAACCTAACGAATATTGAGGAAGCTCATTGTTATTCTGTGACTTTACAAGCATCATCAGGGGTAGCACTCGGAATGTTCTGCTCCAAAACCATGTGTTTTGCCACTTGCCCAAGAGGAAATCTCCATGAGCTGTCACTAACAGTGAAGTTTATATCCTTTTTATATGTCAACCAGTGCAGGACTCCCATCCTCTCTCTTAGTCCTTTCTACAGCACCCATCACCGTAAAAGGAAGTATGGTGAGCATGCCTGCACCAGTACATTACAATCACTTAGATTCCTACCCACTGCCCCCACTCCACACACACACACACACACACACACACACAAGCTTGGGCCAGTTCAGTTTATGGAGGTTTTAATACATTTTGGAGGGTTGGGGGCAGGAATTTAAACCCTCGTTGCTACCAATTCCTCCCTCCCCACTCTCTGCCCTGTCACAGCCTAGGGCGTAAAAAATCAAGAGCAACTGGGCTGTTTCTGTATGTCCTTTCACCTTCTTCAGCTTCTCTCCCCCTACATACTAATCGACACAGCTGCCCCAATGCACTAGCACACACGTCTTTAAAACCACAAGCTATCACTGACTCCAGTAAAGGAGACAATTGAGAACATACCCTTCTTGCAACTATTCATCGGTCCAAAACTGCCAGCTTTCCCACAGGCCACTCTCTATTCAACCAGACTGCTGAACATGCCACCTCCTCTGGGCCTAGCATTATTGCTGCTCCACTACTCAGCTAAGTGCAGTAGTGGTTTTGGTCCCCAGAATCCCCAAAACTTCAAATGCAATACTCTCGGGCACTGCCTCTTTCCCATGCCTCCGGGAATAAGAGTTACCCCTGAATCTGGGTCTCCTATATGGCAGCACATTGAGCAGCTTTCAAGATGTGTCAGAAAGTCAATTTTAATTACCGTCAGTTTGGGCTCACACAGAGACTAATCTTACAGCAGCTGACCGCCCAGGAGAGAAACTAAGCAGAGTGCAAACATCAGAGTGATCAGCTCTAATAGGAAAATGACAGGGTCACACACATGCTTGTATCTGTCCATTAGAGATGGAAGCCACAGAGCATGGCAAATGTTGAAGTTATTTTGGGATTAGTTCTCCTTAGATTGTTTGTAAAGACAAACGCGGTCTCTAGTGTCTGTTCCCTGCTGGGGTTTATAGATAGATAGAGTGTGTGTGTGTGTCCTGTACTCATAATTTATATTTGCACTTATTGTTCATGAAAGGTGCTAGATCAGCAGCTCTGGGAGCGAAGCCCTTTTACTGAACAACAGGGCACGCATAGCAAGTACAGTGCGTCCCTAGCATCTCCCTGCAAAGGTCCTTCAGTTCTGCCCTAGAGGGACCACCTCTGAGGGCGATAGGCTGTTCAGCCTCCATCAGCCTCTCTGCAGAGCCTGCCATTAAGTGGGTTAGCATGATGGCGGCTTTGTGTCATATTTTAAAATGTGATAACTTATTAGGTAGATGATCTGACACCTAGATCTGACTGACACCCGTCAATCAATCACATGACTAGCAAGTGACAATCAATATATTTCCATGTTGATTCCCTTAACTCCTTCAACAAAATCTTCAGGAGTAATTTAGAGATTATTTCTTTGGAACAAACCTCAGATCACAGAAGAACAGTACAGATTAGCAATGATGTGGTCAGTTATGCCAACTTCATCTTATTTGGGTTTTGGCACTGGAAAACAAACAGAGCGTATCTATACTTACAACAAAGTCTCTTCCCCTGCAAAGCACTTCTGCAGGGACTCCACTGTGTGGGCTAGAGGTATCTTTTGGATAGAGGACATCGCTGTTAATTAAAAGAGGAAATAATTAATTAATTATGATGCATTGCAACTAAATATTATCAGTGAGGATTTTTAACAGAGTGTATATGCCCTGTATACGCGTCCATTCATTGGTCAAAAGACACCTTTCATCCAGCCAAGTTTGCAGGCTTTACACAAATTCCAATGAAGTTAAAGCCCCGTCTGCATCAAGAGAATTCACACTGGAGTGGCTACATCAGCGCAGTTCACACTAGTGCAAAGAGGGGCTTAGACCAGTGAAGTTTTTTCTGGTAACAAACAGAAATAAGATGCACAGATGTAAACTGTATGCTGGTACAGCACATCTACGTTAGGGGTCTGCCCCAGCTTAGCTACATCAGTGTGAATTTCCTTAATGCACACATGTACAAAAGTGTGTCATCACATGCTTTGGGCTACATGGCTTCCCCACACAACCCCAAAGGTAACATGAGCCAAAACATTTATAAACCGGACTTAGTTTATTTTTATTCTAATTTAATACTCAAGTATTTTAAGTAAGAGATGCTATAAATTCCATCAGCTGGGGCACTTAACACGCCATCCCATTCAGACTGGGGGACTAATTAAATTACATCCACCATCATAAGTGCTCTCCATAGCCCCAAGGTCACTCCTGATCATGGGTTTCACGCCACACAGCTGATCAGGGCAAAAGCTGTTTTTCCACCCTCACAATAAAAGGCTCTATTAGGCTAATCTTACACTTCCAACACTTTTTTTCTGTTGGAAGATGAAGGTATTGTAACAACCACAGACACACATAAAACAGTACTAGCAACTGCTACAACATAAACACCCTCGTGCCATCATTCTGGGAGCTTGTATACAGCATTATCCGGCTCACAGCATTCCTTTCTGGAGTGATTTAAGATAGAGTGCAGCTGTGTCACTTTACAGGCTATTCTGCAGCAGCTGCAGCCCCAGGTCGTGGGTGGCCAAAGCGTGGTCCACAGGCTAATGGGTGCCAATGAACGTGAACGTGACTAGTGTTCACCCTCATCTTTATTACAGATGTGGCCTAAAGATGAGGGTGCAATTCCCAGCACGTAATATCCCATGTCAATGAAAAGGATATGGCATTTGAGACCTGCAGTGTTGCTGGGATGCCCTACTGTATTAAAGATTAAGGTGACTACAATAGGATCCATTTTATGAACATGAGGTGCACCCAGCAACCTACTCTCAACTTATCAAATGGATAAACCCTTCCAGAGACCAGCTCTCAGTGACAACAGCAATAAACCAGTAATGACTCCTATACTGAGGGAATAAAGATTTTTCTTCCCAAAAACTGACGTGGCTCAATACACAAACAAAACAGATCTTATCACACAGTTCGATACAATTTTAGATAGCTCAGCCTCTGCCCTGTGATCATTTAACATCAGCTCTTTGTCTTCTGCATAACAGACTACTGTAACAAGAATTGTATTTAATCAAGTATTTAAGTAACTTGGGTTTTTGAGCTCAGACACTGGTGCTTTCAGCTACATTACAGCAGCAAAATGTTAGTAAAGGATACAAAGTCATTGTTCTGATCTACTCCTAACAGGAACGTTAACATTTGACGACAACAAAGAACAGAAGGCGTACCTTTTTACCACCCAGTTTCCCTGGACCAGCATCGCCACCTGCTGTATACAGCGTAAAACTGCAGTAGAATCGATCCCAGAACCCAATAAACTCATGAGGTTTGCAAAAGGCATTACTTTCACTAAAGGAAAAGATGAAACACAGTTGTTTTAAAGATGCTTTCAATGTTTTATTTAGATTCATAGAAGGACTTCTGTTTTTTAAAAAAATGGATACACAGATTTTATTTTTTTAATATAAAAGACTCCCATCTGTTTACACTGAAATCAGCAATCAAAAATATTTCACAGCTCTCGAAAAATAAAAAGCACTTTGAAGAAGCACTCCATTTCAGTCAGTCTGTATATTCACTGAAAACATGTCAGGGAATGTTGTATGTAAGTTAATTGGCTTAACTGATCCCAAATTAATACACTGATAAAAGAAACCATCTATACCATTCTATTTTTTGCAATAGATTGAGTCATCTGACAAGACAGTAAGACCCAGAGACAAAAACTTTAGCACTTGCTATTGTCACATCATTAGCAATTCCAGAAAGATGGGCTAAAGCTGTCTCAGGCTACATGCAGAAGGCACATATTACTGAAAACCTTCCCGAGAAAGGACAAAGCCAAAATGGCAGGTTGCTGCATTAAACTCTGAGCTAAAATTCATGCTTAGTCTCCACTACCCAGCAGTGGATCAACAGAGACAGGTGTGTCCTGGAAGGAACAGCAGTGGTCTTAGAGTGGAAGTTATTCCAAGGAGTACTCCTTTGGCTGCACATGCCCAGATCGCAGGTGTCAGCTCTCCAAGCAGTCATGTGTCTATCTTCCCTTCTATATCAATGGCGTACTCAATCAGCAGTGGAAGAGATGCTATTCAGAGCCTGAGACTTAGCCCTAGAAACAAAGGGCCATAGAGACTCTCAGCCCTGTAGGACGACAGCATAGACACTGCCAGGAAAGGCTACTTATTTTAGGGAAAAGGAGGTCTGAGGTCATGAAAGGACATGAGGAAGTGAAATGTTTTAAAAATATCACATACCATTCTTCATCAGGATCTTAATCTGATCAGCAAGGGGTAAAGTTCTCAGCTGTGCCATAGAAAGCACATTGCTTGGAGCCACAGGTTTGTCTCTGTAAATAAACAAGCAGAACTGTAGCCAATGAACTACAACATCCAGCCAACGTGAGGTTAGGACATTCCATGCAAACACTTACTTCTCTTCTTCTACATTCGGAGGCATCAGCATCATTAAGTATTCACTAATGGAAAAGAAAATGTATCAGCCTTAAAATACTTGCATTAGGATTTTCTAGGCTGAAATACAATGATCTCCTGCTTAGTGCAATCTTATTTATGTGAAATCTACAAAGTAAATATTAGCTTCCAAGGTCATTTTTCCTTTCCAAAGAAATTCAGTGCTGGAGAAATGTATGAAGACTGTAGTTATATCCACTGAGAACATTTGCTTACAACTGCTTTCTACGATTTTTAGCATGTTGGAAGAAATCAAAATCACTGAATTCATGCTGTTACCAGTAACAACTGATAAAGATTTTTAGTTCACGTTCCTTAAATTTAGTTAAGGTGAGGAAGGATGGTGCAGTCATCGGTGCACTAGACTGGGACTATGGAGACCAGGATTCCATTCCCTGCTCTGCCACATATTTACTGACCTTGGGCAAGTCACTTACCCTCTCAGAGCATGTCTACACTGCAATTAGACACCTACAACTGGCCTGCACCAGCTGACTCGGGCTTGCAGGTCTCAGGCTAAGGGCTGTTTAATTGCAGTGTAGATGTTTGGACTCAAACTACAGCTCGGTCTCTGGGACCCTGCAAGTCAAAGGGTCCCAGAGCTAATGCTGCTGCCCAAGCCCTAGTATCTACACCACAATTACACAGCCCCTTCGCCCAAGTCAGCTGGCATGGACAAGCCGTGGGTTTTTAATTGCAGTGTAGACACGCCCTTTGTGTCTCAGTTCCCCATTTATAAAATGGGGATAATAGCACTTCCCTACCTCACAGCAGTGTTGTGAGGGTAGTACATTAAAGACTCCAAGGCACTCAGGTACTACAGTAAGTACCTTAGATACCACAGTAATAGGCCAGGTTCTTTCCTCTATTCCACCTGTGCAGTACTCATCCACTTCACTGTGACTGAGGACAGAATCTGGCCCTAAGAATTTTTCATAGACAGGACAGTTCAATGAGATGCCAAATTTTAAAAATAACCCACCAACACCATGAGTGCAAAACACCATGTCCTGCTGCTTTCCCACTATTGGGCCTTGCTTACCCCAGATTACAGGAAAACCACATTAATTATTGCTTCCTGAACAGATTCCTGTAACCACCATATAAACCTTTCCCCCATACAGCTACCAAAAAGCAAATCTGAAGCTGAAAAACAGTCACTGTCAAGTACTTTTAAGTCTCTATTAAAAATCGTAAAACTCATTATTAATAAAGTTCTTGTTGTTTTTTTTTTAATTTAATAGTTTCTGGTTTTGATTTAAACCTTCCCCAGCTGCGTTTGTAATCCTTGCATTATAGAACTGTGTTAGCGCATAAGAACTAGAGTTAATCTGGCTTAACAAAAAAAAAAAGTGGCAATGACTAGTTTCACTCTCTGGCCTGAGTGAAATACAAAAAAACCCAAAACCCCCACCAAAAATTATGAGAAAACAAAATGATCAATTTTTTTAAAAATTATTTCCGTCATAACAACCTACTGTTGTTAATATATATGACAACCTGACAAATATTCAAACATTACTGCGACTTGTGTAGGATACTAGACCAAAGTTTTTACCTGGGAGATTTAATTAACTCGGTATTCTCTGCCATGCCATGTCCCTGACTGAGTAAATACTGGCGCTCATGTTCGGAACGGCTGTCCTGAGAAACGTGGGGATGGAAGAGCAAGACTCACTGCAGTGTACAGTAAACATGCCATATCTCAAACAGTTTAATTCTTCATTCTCAGGCTCTCCAGCACCATTAAAATCCCACACTCATTATTCTAACATGTAGCTAGTGCACTATGTAAACATCACATCTCAGTAACTGATGCATTACTTTCACACAGTTGCGTTGACATTGATGCAACATGGGAAAGCTTGAGTGTGTATTATTTTAAAACACGGACACATTTACACTTTTTGTTAGTTGATTATCACTCCTGGCATCAAACTGATTTGATTCCCCTGACCAACACCCTATCTAATGCCTTAAAGTGCCCAGCCCGCAAGCAAAGGTCTGGGTTTGATCCTCAGACTCAGGCTCCCCCGCATGTTGCTGACACTAGAGTCTGCTGAGATACATGAGTATTCAGGCCTCCAAAGCACCCAGAACATACCTACCCTTAAGCCATAATAATGCAGATGGACCCAATGCTCTTCAGCTTGTCTCTTCTGCAGGAATTCATAGGACTGAACACGTCGCTGACGAGCTTGTTCAGTCTCTGGTCGGGAGAATCTTACCTACAAGATTTGATTACCGTTAACTATAGTCCTCAAAACTCTCAAAATGACACAGATTAAAATGGCACAGGGAATTATATGCAAAAACGTGTGCGCTATATAAAGAAAACACATTGAATGGCAAAGCCAGGGGCAGACAGCTAGGAACTAGCTGAACTAGAAATGCTCTTTTGCAACAGCCCCACCCTTCTTATTTCACTTGTTGACTTAACTAAATAGTCAACTTTCCCAAGTGGGGGTGTAATTGCTGAGCACCAACTGCGGTGTAAACCCTGTCAGCTCAGTATGGATTGTTATACACTGATTGTGCACAGTTTCTTGAACTACCAGTAATAAGGAATCTCAGACATACAGTAATTTGCTTGATGTCGTCTTCAGCTTCATCCTGGGACGAATCTCCCGCTGACAAAAAAACAAGCCAGGAAAATGAAATTAAAAATATAATCAAAGATGAAGCAGCCACAAGAGAGTTTATGACTGTTCTGAGGCTTAGTCCAGGAGAGAGGTATGGTCCAAAACACAGGACCAGCGGCCAGCCACCTCAGTTCTATTTATATAAATACCTGGGTAGCTGTATCTCTCGTCACCATGCTATATGAGCACCTCACAAACAAACGCTCCTGCTAGATATGGAAAAATTACCACCACCAGAGGGAATTGAGGCACAGAGACCTGAAGGGGCTGACCCAACATCATACAGGAAGCTTGTGGCAGAGCTGGGAATTGAACTTGCTCTGATATTGAGTCTATATGTCTTTGGGTAAGTTATTTAACCTATGTATCTTGGCTCCCCCATTTGTTAAATAGAGATATCAATATGGTAATATACTGGTTCGTTTGCATATATGTTCCACTGCCCTCTACTGGATATAATCAGAAATGCATCACTGGCATAGGATCTACAAGGCAGACGTAATGGAGACTCTCCTTTGACTCTCGAGGTAGGGGCCAGTGCTTTTGGAACAAGTAGATCTAGGTTCAATTCCTGTTGATGCTATTATGTTCCAAATGCCCATGGAATGCAGCACAGTGACAACCGTGAAGACCTAGGTGGCTACAGATTTGTTACAACACTTAACTGACAGGGGTCTTGAGAGGACGAGGTAATGGTGCAGCACAATGAAAAAAGTACTGTAAGTTTTATTATTATATTCTACCATCCAGGTGTTCACAGTCTCATGTTCTAGACCTTTAATTCATCTGACGGTTAAAAGGAACAATTATTTCCTCTGAGCCAATCATTATACATTATTTTATTTTAAAACACGCTCAGTGTTTCTTCAGCTATGAATAGCTCTTTCCAATAACACCATAAAGTCAGTATAACAAAATCTAAAGAGAACTCAAATTGTTCCGTAACAAAGAAATCACAGCTTGTAATGTGTTCACCTTCATTAGCAGCTTCTCTTTCTCGGTGTTTGGCATCAGCTTTGTCCAAGTAGGAGAAACTTGGCCTCAGTTGTAGAATGCCATATAATGGAGTTAGGTGAAGTTCACCTGAAAAATTACAAGTTATTTTCCAAGGCCTACAGTTGGCAATTTCATTTTCCTATCACCTTTGTAATGTCACAGTTTAAATTTAAGATAAAGATTTATTAAATTTAAATGTAAGATGAGAATCTTAAATGGAAGATTAATCCAGTCCTTAGTATTTCAAAGAGGTATCAGATTTGAACCCCTTGGTCCAAACCTGCCGCTACAATTTGCTTTTTGGTAGGATCCAAGCCTGGAAGAGGCCCATTTTCTGGATAACATATGGCTCAAACTCACATTTCACAAGGTCAGATGATCTGACAAGATTTCTGCCATTTGTGGCCAAAAATCTCAGAACAGCAGCTCATGAAAGATCAGTACTAATCCAATCCCAACCTGTGATTCAGCCTTGAAGACCACCCCCAAGCTCACAGCCTAAACCAAATTTTGACATCAGTAACGCCTCTTTGTCCCTTCTCTAAATAAGTATCTCTGCCACAAACAGGAGAACAATACCCAATCCTGGTTCCACAGCATCCAAAGTTTACAGCAGCCCCTGGCCTTCCACACCAATAATGAGTATTTATATCATTATGACAACAGCAAACTCTGAATAAGGTGACATAAAAAAATGTATAGAATACCAATCTTGAAATTCTTGGGACATCAGTATTCCCAGAGGTTTTTAGAATACCAAGCAAGAGAGGGTTTGGGAAACAAATGAAGGAGCAGAACGTGTGGAGTAAGGGAGAACAGCAACAGAGAGACTGAAGTGAATATTAAAGAATATCCCCTTCAATGTATATGGTTTCAGTCTATAATTCAATGGTAGAGTTCTGGTTGCATCTACAAGCCCTACTAACTGTTACCTTGTTTACAATGTCATTAGAATACCCTGATGGAATCTCAAGGACTTTAGAACACTCCAAGTAGTTAAGTTCTCCCTTACAGTAACTTACTTATAAGGAATTGACAGCCACTAAATAGGAACAGAGGCTGCTGGAGACAAACACCACAGTTTTTTCATTTCAAACCCTGCATATTTAAAAACCGATTTATTTCATAAGGTTGCAGGAGGAAAAAAAAAATAACCTTTTCTATAGATAGCAGCAGCATAACGGGAAACGTTACTCGCAGCCTGTGAAGAGCAGAAAGTTTGTCTGTCCATCAGCTTCCTGTAAATAAATTAAATTTTTATGACTACAGTCCACAGATACCACAAAACATGCAAGCCTTAAAGGGCAGAAACAAAGAGTTGTTGCTCTCTAAAATTGAGTACTGTAATTAAACTTGCAGGTCTTTTAAAAATATATATTTACACGTGTATTTGCTGATCTCCCACGCTGCAGCATTATTTACTATGGGTACCGTGGAAGTCACAGCACCCCATCTACAATATTATCTGTCCCATGTGCTCATTCAATTAGGGGCTCTTTAGAAAGTGCTGAGTGGTGGCTTCCCAGCTATCCAGAGATGCCCTGATGGAATTAAACAGCAGAAGACACTCTACAGCATAGGGCACTGGAGCAGCTACTCTGCTTCCTTGATCCTTCCTCTGGGAGAGCTACTGGGTTACATTAACAGGTACTGATGGCCCTGAGAGGCCTTAATTCAGCAAAGTGTTTACGCTTGTGCTGAAGATTTACATATGTCTCTCATGCTTTGATGGCTCCTGGCTAGAATTAGCACTGAGGGACATTTATTTGGTTTAGATGTTGTTTTGTCATTTTTCCAAGGGACTCAGGCATAACACTCTCCAATGACAGAAAATGCCACCAACTTTAATTGCACACCTGGCCGAGTTTTATTTTTACCTGCTGTCATTATAAGCTACCCTTAGACTATGCAACTAAAAGAGTAAGACAGAAAAAAATATGCCTCTAATTTTTGCACATCCAACAGTAGCTTGTGAAAAGTCACATTCACTGTTTCCCCAAATAGCCAGCCAGCCAGTTTCCCCTATTGTTTGCGTGCATCCTTCATGATGCAACAGGGGAGCAAAAAACATTCTGAAAAGTGGGATTGTAAAAAAATTCACAAAAATCAGTAGCGAGACTCCAGGACAGGTGAGATACCTGAACCTACTTTTAATTCGTTTTTTTAAAAAAAAACTGACAAATTTCAAGTTGACAGCGTCTCTTAAAATGCAAAATGTATAGACCAAGATTTTCATAAATGACGAGTGATTTCTGGGTGCCCAAGCTTAGACACCATACAGTGGCTATATTTTTTTAGGGTGTGTGTTCAGCATTTCCTGAAAATCAAGCTCCTTAAAACGGTCTTAAGTTGGGCACCCAAAAATTGACACACACCCCCCCCCAAAATCACTAGTTACTTTTAAAAGTCTTAGCAATATATTTTAAAATGTCTAAATTTCTCCATATTTGGAAGATTGTGATTACTGGGCCAAAAAGTTAACCCTAATTGTAAGCTGAAATGTAAAAAGGATGTAAAAGTTAATAAGATGTCAGAATAACCTATAACATTTTTTAGCCTGCATGGGAATTTACCATGGAAAATAGGAAACTCCTATTACTATCAAATTATTTTCAGTAATGATGTTATGAACAAATGCAAGAAAACCAGAGAGAGATTAGTCCAAACAAACAAACAAAAATCTACTGACATGATGCAAGGACTGTGCTGAGACTGGACCTAATAAACAAGATATGGGATCAGGAATTAATGGATCAAAATTGGTGTGAAGGATATAAAGCCTAATTGATGGACAAAATATTGAGATGAACTATGCCGCCCATTTTTCTCATCTTTGGGTTCTTAAAAAAGAAATGTTGGGAGGAAAAAAAAATCTCTTTCCCCAGTGCATGTCTGCTCAGCACCCCCCAGCTCAGCTAGTCTCGTCCCACCTCACCTTCCCCAACCCCAACAGAAGAAGCAGACCAAACCAAAGGACATTCTTCCTGAGAGGAAGGCCAGCAGGCCTTACTCCTCTTTAAGGAATTTTGTTTTTCACCTGGGAGTCCTGAAAGCCATCATATCATCATGACATCCAGTCCTCAGCCCATCAGTGGGGATACATAATTGCCAGCACCATAGAGGTACCCAATATTCTGTTTCCCTTCCCTTTGTGTTACTTTCTGCCTGCCCCTGCAATTCCTATCTCTCATGGTTTTCCACTGAATCCTAAAAATCAACCACACTACAACAGCACAAAAGAGATGAGATGTCCATAGCCTTGTCTTGTCTAAGGAGAAATAACCCAATCAGAGGACATCCCTGATCTGAATGTGAATTAGGGTCCAGGCACCAGATGTCACGGTCACCTGCCAGCCAAAGTATCCATTCATGACTGACCAGCCATCCAGTGTTCCAAAAACATCAACAAAAGCTGTATTTCCCCCACCTTTTCTATATTTTCTCTTCTTCACCTTCTGTTTGTTAAACACAGAAGAAGTGAATATCCTTTGCACATCAGGACTGACAGTAAAATTAAACCTCCCTTTTAATCAAAGAATGGTTGTTAATGAAAATAAGAGACTGATATTTTGTCTGCAAAAGGAGAGAGACTTTAATATGCTTTATTTAAGTTTGTTTTGCATAGTCATTCAATTTCAGTATAAATGCCTATTTTAATTTCTTGTTCTTCCTTGTGTTTGATCAATAAACTTTCAACTTTACAAGGCAAGGTTTTGTGTGTTTGCCAGAAACTGAGTAAACCAAGGCCTCTGTAGAGAAAACCCCGAACCTAAGTGTCACTGTTTTAATGCTGGACAGAGAAGGAGTTTACAAACACCTTTAACTTTTTTGGTCCTTGAAATCACTATACTCCAGGCCTTGAGATTGCATATTTGTTTGCTCCGCCCCTTCCCTAAAAGTTTGGTGGGAAATCTGACCATTTACTAGAAAAGAAAATCAGAGCAAAGAGGATACCTACGAGGAATAGGTACTAGTTTCATCTGTGCAGGTGCCATCCACATTGAGAGCGATCTGTTCTCCTTTGCTGCGACAGTAGTTGGGATTCAAAGTATCAATGGCCATTTCAAGTTCAACCTAATCACCAACAATTAAGAAAACACCAATAGTTAACATAGCATAATCACCAAATATGCAACCAAACTAAGGCTCCAGTCTCACAAAGATTAACGTATGTTTACCATTATGCCTACAAGCAACCCCGTTAAAGTCAATGGGACAAATCACATGCATAAGATCAAGCAGGTGCTTGAGTCTCTGCAGGACTGATATACACTGTCATGCTGTATATCTATGCCATTTGCAGACGCCCAACGAAAACTACCAAATTTGATCTGTACTTCAGGAACCCTTTTTAAATGGATTTTGAAGATGTATCATTTACACTGCAGGTGGAGCACCAAAATTCAAGACTTTCCCTTTACATCACCAAAGATTTAAAGAAAAGAAAATAGCACAGGAAAGATGTGCTATTTACAGCTGCCCTGCTGCTCTCAACATGTGTCAGCAAATCTATTACAAAACACGTTCTTTCAGGTGTTTACCTCACACTCCTTTCCAGTGCATCAAATCCAAGTTTAGGCGGATGTTTAACAGCCAAACTCTGCCTCTCATAAGCAGCTCGTAATTCTCATCGACATCAATGGAAATGCACATAGCCACTGGAGGGCAGAATTTGGGCATTATGGCTGAGATTTTAAATGGGATTTAGATGCACAATTTCCCATTCGAATTAATGGGAGTGGAGAGTCTAAGTGCCCTTAGGCAGCCTTGAAAAAAAGTGTGTGTGTGTTCTGACTACGCTGTCAGATAGTTTTGTTTAAGAATACCATGGCCCCCTTTCCTCTCTCCTGCCACCAGGTCTATTCAGAAAGTCTGAAGCCCAATGCATTTCCGCAAGACTTGGGCAATGAAACACCACACTATATTCCATCTAGAGGCAAAGAGCCCTGTTCTGATCTTACGTGGTTTTATGCCAGTGTAATTTCAGTGGAGTTACTCCTGATTTACAGCTACGTGAGAGGAGAATCAGGGTTACAAATGGCTCCTTGCAAAGTGTGAGCCTGACCCTGCAAGCTTCCAGAGGCATGGGGATCTCCCACAGATCTGTGACCTCACTGATTTAGAGTTACTCCTAATTTACACTTCCTAAGGGAGAGCAGCACCAAGCCCTATCACTAATACTAAAATACAGAGCACGTCACCAGAACCCAAATGTGCTCTAGAAATAAAGACATGAAAAATGCTCTTTAAAAATATGGATTATTAGCACAAGCATCCCCGACCTGAACTAGAATTATCACATGCTCAGCTACAATGTCTCTCAGGGGTGGGATTTCAATATTTTTATACTAAAGGAGTATCCTCTCCATCACTGCTTCACCTGCTTCTCTACAAAGCAAACACCATGCTGGAGAAAGCCCTGTTTAAAATTTCTCAAATTTTCTGAAAGAACTAACCTAAGAGATGCAGTACCACAAGTGGCTGCATCACCACAACAGCTAATTATTAATAATTATATGTATAGCGTTAGCACCTAGCAGCAGAGCACAATTCATATTTCCTAAGCACACAACGTACAGCATGAAACAATCTTTTCAGACTAGCATTACATGATACCTGACCTTTTGCTGCTTTGGCTTTATCTTTGCCGACAGATGCGTCACATCATCATATGTCATGGAAGCTGGACGAATAGGATACTAGAAAACAAAAATGTTTCACAGAGTGTCTTTCATCTAAAGTCTCAACATGCTTCAAAAAAAAAAAAAAAAAAAAAAACTAACTAACCTTTCCCTTCCCCACCCCACCTATTGTATACCCACTTCCCAGATGATTACAAGTCACAGAAGAATAAATGACTTGACTGGTCTGGTGAGTCACTGGCAGAGCTGGGAATAGGGCCCAGAAATCAAACTCCCATTCCTTTGCTCAAGCCACTACACAACACTACCTACCAATGAACCATGATATACAGAATTTTTTATCCAAGAATCTCAAATTGCTTTACAGAAAGGTGGGTGAGTACCAATATCCACATTTCACAGATGGAAAAATGAAGCACTGAAAGATTAAGTGACTTGGCCAAAGTCTTCTAGGAATTCAGTAACAGAGTGAAGAATTAGAACCCAGCTCTCTTGACTCCCATTTCCCAGCTCTAATCACTATGTGATTCTGCTTCCTCCATAACACATGGGAGCTGTTTGCAGTGTTATTGTAGCTGAATCAGCCCCAGGATATTAGAGAGACAAACTAGGTGAGGTAATATCTTTTATTGGACCAATTTCTGTTGGTGAAAGAGTGCTCTCATTAACTGGAATTATGAGCATAAATCTTTGGAGCATCCATACAGAGTTAAACTGATTCACAGATGTAAAAATAAATAATTTCAAAAGCAGAGAAGCCAAAATTCTTTTCAATACAAGGAGGCAAGCAACTCTCTATACTACCACTGCAGTTTCTCTTTAGTGGTGTTATCAGGGCTGCCTTTCACTCCATGGGACTTAAACCAATGAGGACATGCAGCAGTTTACACGGAGATAATACCTAAGGTCAACACTGTCCTGGCAGTGGTTGAAAGGGTGTGCGTGAAGGGGTAACACCAGCCATCCCCTCTTTTGGCACTATACTATGTGTTTGAACGGCCCAAGGCCTAAACGGACCCACCTAAACCCTACCCCCACATAAATCCAAGGCCGAGACAGGTCTGCAGCCCCATGCAAGAAACTGCATTGGGAAATCCACCAAATGCTGCCACGCTAGTGACTAACCCTTGCACTGCCAATAGGTGCTAACACACAGGAAACAGCATAGCAAGTGAAACTGCCCAGCATCATCCAGTAGAAGTCGTACTAGGGCATGCTAGGAGCTGTTAGGGTCTATGTTAACAGTAAGAGAAGTTACTGCTTTATGAAATAATTATTCTTTAAAAATTATATCCAAGAAGTCATCTGGAATACCTGGAACATATACAGCTTCTCCGACAGGCTTTTGGCCAGGTACACGTCAATCTAACAAAGCAAAAGAAACAAGTTTAACCAGACCGAAAGCTACGATTGCTGGTGCTCTCAGACATTACTGAGAATGCAGCCATCTGTTCTCAAGTTACTAGAGATGGGAGAAATTTGCCTAGTTTGGAGTTTCACTACGAATGCTGAACCTAGGTAAGGACCATGAATCTTTTGACAAACCCAGCCTCTGCTAGTTTTCCACACGAAACTCAGCAATTTTGTATATTTTTGCCATGACACAAGGCAGAGGTCAGTGACTTTGGCCGAGTGTTGGGTTCTCTCAAAGCAAACTCAGGGCACGGCCAACACACCTCTCTTGGGACAAGGGAAAATGGCTCTCATTGGGCTTTCTGTGAATCTAATACCACAATATCACCCAGCTCTAGAAGAAACTCATGTGTCTCTTTGGTAACAGTGAATGTAAGGTGAGTATCTAACTAATACCATGTCACAAAGGCAATGTTAAGAATACAAAATTAAAAATGAGAGATGGGATGAACAAGCTCAGAATCCCATATCTGTCCCATTACCAGCTCTTTGCCACAAACACCTAGAATTCATGGAGGTTTCAGGAATATCACAAGTGGGCACTGCCACAGAATGGCAGCCATTTTGGGTACTTATGTGATCCTGTCAGCTCCCATTCCTGCTGGCCACATCCCCTCCCCCAATACCTGCCCTTTCCTGGCACCTTCATAGTGGCCTGTGTGTGTGAATTCACATCAAATATCAATATGACACCACAGCCACAATGATGATCCTTTTAAAAGCCGAATGGTCCGAAACTCCTTTCAGACTAGAACCAGATCTCAACTCTTTGTTTTAGCAGAAGCAGTGAACACATTTACCAGTCATTTCATTTTTATAACCTTCTAATCCAGCAAAATAATTCTATTTAAAATTGTTCTAACTTTCCAAAGTGAAACTTAGTGCACATAAAAGATGCCAGATGATAAATCTGGAGACTGATCCTCTATTTATCCACTGAACAGATAAAGCAGTGGTGCTAGCTTCTCAATGCTGACCCACCAAGGTTCTTCATCCCTGACCTGGAACACAAGCTCAGGGGTCAAAGGCTAGAACAGTTCTCCATGCCAACTCTGCCCACAAGAGTGCCAACTTGTTTTGGCAATGAGGACACCTGTACACTTGACCACCTATTTCCTTCAGGTACTGTAGGTTTTTGAGCATCAGATGCCAGTTAAACCCAGGGAAACATTCTTTCCAAGTGCAAAAGGCTAAGAAAAACAAATTTCAAGAAAACCAAACACTCACTAATCAACCAATGTCAATTTACCTCTTGTATAATTGGGTCATCTTCTTCATTTGCCATGCTAAAATGGGAAAAGCAATGTTTCAGGTCCTTCCTTAGCACAATCTGAAAGAGAGGAAAAGCACTGTATCAAGGATTGTTTTGTAAGAGCTATAGTTCCCCCATTCGTAATTTCCATCTTGTGTACCATGTGCAGCCTAGGATCCTTCCTTGCTCACATTGTTTTAGTTCCTTTTAATAGAAGGGAATTTTATTTTTTGGAAAGCAGATTATGGGGAATACATTTGTGTGGTCTTATTTCTTCCTTCCTCCTCTTTTACTGGCTATGACACTTTTGTACAGTATGTATTTTAATTTGGCTTGGTAGAATTTTTTTCCTAATGTTGACAATTAATATTGTTATTTAAGATTTTTTTTAATTTTTAATTATTTTTATTTTATAGCTGCAGGAAATGAAGGGAGGGGTAAAACCAGGATTAGGGCAGCACTGACAGCAGGCTACAGGGGCTCCCTGCATGGCCAAGAGGCTCAAGACACCAGCATGTAATGTGAGGGGGAGGCTGTGGTCCTGGCCTTATACAGCAGAGACCCACAGCCAGGACTACAAAGATGACAACAAAACCCTGGCTGCGAGTTGCTGCTGAACAGTTCCTGTCCAGGGACAGCTCCTAAACTCCTGGCTGGGGAGTGAGTGAACAGGGACTTGACAGCAGAGCTGCACAGATTCCCAGCATGGCTGCAAGGCTGGTGATCTTTGATGGTGCAAGGTGTGGGAGAAACTGCGGTCTTGGTGGGTCAAAGCAGAGACCCCCCTGGCCAGGGCTGTGAGGAGGAGGGAAAGTCCTGGCTGCAGAGGAGGATACCCCGCCATGGAACGGCTCCTGCCTGGGGACAGAGCCATTCAGCAGCATGGCGGATTCCCCCACAGCCAAGGGCTCAAACTCCTCCTCATCACAGTGCTGGCCTGGGATGGTCTCTGCTTCACCAGGCCAGGATTGCAGCCTTCCCTACAACTTATGCCTCCAAGGACCAGGTGTCACGAGCCCTGTGGACATGCAGGGAGCCTAAGGAAGCCCTCTGTCACGGGATTGAGGGAGGGGGGCTGTGACAGCAGAGCTGCAGAGGGCCCCCTGCACTGCCACTGGATCTGTGACACCAGATCCCTGCAGGTGCAAGGGGTGGGGGGTAAGGGGGAGGCTGCACTCCCAGTGACTGTTACCCTCCCACATATTTCAGCTGAAATTGACATTTACTGACATCTATCGATTTATATCGAATCCTGCCAAGCCTAATTTTTAGGTTATGAATGCATTGTAACTGACTGCCACACGGACAGTGCACTGCATAAATGTCCAGCGACTGTATGTATTTACCGCACTTCAGATGGTAGGAAATTAAAAACTTAACATGTTTGAATGAGAATTCTCAGTCTGAAACATTTCTCAGCCTCTCTTTTGTGCCTTTGAAAAGATCTGCTGCCCAAGGTCTTACCACCTCACATCTCTGATCTTATCAGCCCAGACGTACCCCATGCAATTGTGCAAGGAGAATTAATTCTGTGTGTCGAAAGGAGCAAAGCAAGACCAGGGATGGAAAATGAGAACTCACAGCAAGCTTCCCCCAAAAAGAGAGGCAACGATAAAATGACACTTCCAAAGGTGTCATTCAAGTTCTTATTCTGCAAGATACTGAGCTCCCTCTGCTCCCGTTTAAGTCACCGAAAGTTAAAAAAGCGTTCAGCACCTGGTAGCATCTGGCCCTTAGTGAACATGAATGTTTATGGGTGGCCACCTGAGGGGAATCAGAGTTAAGATCTTGAGCTCAGTAGAGATCTCCAGGCTGGTATAGTCAAGCAGGGCTGTTGAAGGAGCCAGGGCCCAGATCCACAAATGGATTTAGATGTCCGAAACACTGGACTAGATTCACAGTCTCTCTCGCTCAAGGACTACATAAGTATTTATCTGCAGTGGATCAGTCATTGGCCCAGAGAGAGAGAGAGAGAGACTATGACGCTGTAGTCCAGGGCTCTGGGCACCCACTTGGGAGGTAGAAGACCCAGAGAGTAGGAGACTGCCGTGTAGCGTAGTTCTACAATGTTAAACAGCTGCCACTTTCCATTCCAGAAGTGGCTGCGTTTCAGTGATAGGATACTTAAGCCCACTATATCTCTTACTTACCTCAGCACTATTTGAGACTTAACTACTTAATATTTGGCATATTTTCAAATATTACAGAAATACAAAATGTTCATGATCATTCTGCATTCTCGGTTACTGTATTCTTAATTAATTGGAGTCTTCTTGGCACAACTGTCAGCATGTGATGTAAATTTAAAATGGTGTCTATTAGATCAGATTATTAGAAACTGGGTTCTTTTAAAAAGTGTAAGCATGAGTGTATATTTTACAGAATTAGAAATGAATATTTCCTTTCCGCTTACCCTAGCTCATGGAGTGACTCAGTTACTAGTGAAAATATCAGATAATGAAGACACCAATTTTCCAATTCCTTTAAGGATAAAAGATGTCTGTCTAGAGGGTTGCTTTTAATAGAATATTAGAATGGCAAGCATATAAACAGGAGGCATTGTTACCTGATATAGCTTATAATATTCATACAACTTTCTACAATGAAGGAAATTAAATGGAATTAGATTCAGGCATTTAGTATGGGAAGACATACAGAGAGATCTGAGAGAGACCTTTTCAGCAGAAATACAGTAACCAGAAGAGCTCATGAACCGTGGAAAGAGTAATGGAATGAAATTAAGATAAACACTAGGAGAAATAAAGCATACAACTTACAATTTAGTAGATGGCTCAAATAATTTTATGTAGGTTTTGGATTGCTGAAGGGACTTCCATTTAAAGAGCTCATTGTTATTAGTTAATTAAGCTTCAAAAAACCCTGAATACCTGTAGGTAATACATACAAAGCTCTCACTTCGCTACCACTGAAACACTGCTAACTGGGATGGAATGAAGCAGCTGGTTAACAACTTCCCAATTTAGAACAAATGAAGAATATTCTATCCAATTTAAACTGCAAGTAGCATTTAATGAGAGAGAATTCCATTGCCCCAACTTCAAATTCAGCCAGGACATTGGGGTAACATCTATTCTCATTCTGATAGAAATGCCATAGGATATTAAATGGCCACAAGTGGACAGGACCTCAGTTTTGTGTCTCATCTGAAAGATGGCATCTCCTTTCCCCCCGGTGCCCCCTAATACAGGGGTTGTTAACCTGGGGTGCACAAACAGATCCAGCAGCTCACAACTAGTTTGCTTCTCTTTACAGTTAGATGGAAGGGGCTCCTGAAATTATTGAGCGACAGGGGAGACCTGAAACATTTTTCTGTTGTATCATGGGGTCATGCTATGGACAAGGATGAGAAGAACCACTGTCCTAATAATGTACTGAAGCTCTGGCTCATTACAAATAAAGAGTGACATTTTCTGAATTACCAATGTCACTTCCTGTAGCACCCAGTTTTTTCTTAGAGGTGTCTCATTCAAACACTGGCCCTGACCCTGCTTAGTTTATGTTCAGCACAGAGTCTGTGCTGGTTTGAAAACTGCAGAAAGACAACTGAACTGAATGTTTACAAGGTTCTTTACTTCACCTCTTCCTCCTTTTGCCCATCCATAAATAGTTTTGCAAAACCACATTCTGTTAATTAACCAAAACATTGGGACTTCCTGTGTTCCAAGGCTTCTATTTCCAGTTCGGGTACTACAGCCAGGCAGGCTGATGTAGTCAGGATTTAAAGAGGCTGCGCTGTAAGCTACGTTAAGCATGCATCACCTTTTAAAACCTTTAACATTTCCATAAATATCATTTGTGTACAAAGTGTTAAACCTGTTCTTTCAGCATCAGGTTAGATGAATGAATACAATCAGCAAATAACTTCCCCCTAGCGACAGCATAATTGATTAAAACAAACTCAGTACATAGAAAAACACAACTCTATGTACTGATTTCAGAGCAGTAGCTGTGTTAGTCTCTATCAGAAAAAATGAGGAGTCCTTGTGGCACCTTAGAGACGAACAAATTTATTTGGGCATAAGCTTTCGTGGGCTAAAACCCACTTCTTCAGATGCATGGAGTGAAAAATACATTAAGCAAAATATATATTCTAGCACATGAAAAGATGGGAGTTGCCTTATCAAGTGGGGGATCAGTGCTAACGAGCCAATTCAATTAAGGTGGAAGTGGATCTCTTGTGTGGACTGGTCCAGGCTGAGGTTGATGGACCAGTCCTCACAAAAGAGATCCACTTCCTGGACACTACAGTGCAAATAAGCGATGGTCACAAACACCATCTACGGACCGCTATACTTACCTACATGCCTCCAGCTTTCATCCAGACCAAATCACGTGATCCATTGTCTATAGCCAAGCACTAAGATACAATCACATTTGCTCCAATCCCTCAGACAGAGACAAACACCTACAGGATTTCTATCAAACGTTCTTAAAACTACAATACCCACCTGGTGAAGGGAAGAAACAGATTGACAGAGCCAGAAGGGTACTCAGAAGTCACCTACCACAGGACAGGCCCAACAAAGTAACAGAATGCCACAAGTGGTCACCTACAGCCCCCAACTAAAATCTCTCCAACGCATCATTAAGGATCTACAACCTATCCTAAAGGATGATCCCTCACTCAGACCTTGGGAGACAGGCCAGTCCTCGCTTACAGACAGTCCCCCAACCTGAAGCAACTACTCACCAGCAACTACACACCACACAACAAAGACATTAACCCAGGAACCAATCCCTGCAACAAACCCCACTGCCAACTCTGTCCACATATCTATTCAAAGGACACCATCATAGGACCTAACCACATCAGCCACACCATCAGGGGCTCGTTCACCTGCACATCTACCAATGTGATATATGCCATCATGTGCCAGCAATGCCCCCTGCCATGTACATTGACCAAATCGGACAGTCTCTATGCAAAAGAATAAATAGACACAAATGAGACATCAAGAATTGTAACATCTGTAATAAAGGAGAACACTTCTATCTCCCTGGAGACTCACCAACAAAAAAAACTTCAAAAAGAGACTCCAAAGAGACACTGCAGAACAGGAATTAATTTGCAAACTGGACACCATCAAATTAGGCCTGAATAAAGACTGGGAGTGGATGGGTCACTACAAAAAGTAATTTTCCCTCTGCTGATACTCACACCTTCTTGTCAACTGTTGGAAATGAGCCACCTTGATTGTATTGGACTTGTTAGCACTACAAAAGTAATTTTCCCTCCCTTGGTAGTCACCCCTTCTTGTCAACTCTTGAGAATAGGCCACTTCCACCTTAACTGAATTGGCTCATTAGCACTGACCCCCCCACTTGGTAAAGCAACTCCCATCTTTTCATGTGCTAGTATATAAATTCTGCTTACTGTATTTTTCACTCCATGCATCTGATGAAGTGGGTTTTAGCCCACGAAAGCTTATGCCCAAATAAATGGGTTAGTCTCTATGGTGCCACAAGGACTCCTCATTGTTTTTGCTGATACAGACTAACACAGCTACCACTCTGAAATGCATCCGATGAAGTGAGCTGTAGCTCACAAAAGCTTATGCTCAAATAAATTTGTTAGTCTCTAAGATGCCACAAGTACTCCTTTCCTTTTTGCGAATACAGACTAACATGGCTGCTACTCTGAAATCAGTACACAGAGCAGGTCACCTGGTCAATGAGTCAGTGAAAGCTCCACATCACAAGTACACAGTGCCCAGCAGCTGCCGAGCCAGGCTGGGCCCTCGTACAGACTGTCACTCTCTGCTGGCATAGAGGGGTTTTTTTTTCGTTATTATTTTTGTCAACTTGTAAACCTACTTCCTCCCTGCACAATAATACCAGTAAACAGGCAAGGAAAGGCAAGCTCAAAATCTTCAGCCAGGATTTAAAATACAGGTTCAAATTACTGACTGCAAAAATCCTGCTCTGAGCAAGAATGACTTGGTAACTTGTTATGAGACAGGATGCAGTGTTCTTCCTAAATAAGCCACAAAACAGATGGCCAGAAAGAGATGCATGTACTTGGGCAATTCACCAGTCACTCTTCGAGGATACTGGGAGTAGCTGGAAGGACCGGAGATTATCAAACTCTGCTTACTTTTTGGGGATTGGGGTGGGGAACAAGTCTCCCCAAAGAGACGGCTGATGTAACCACGTAACCTCAGGGAGTAGAGATTCCACACCCACCCAAAACCTCACATTAAACCCAAGTCTCTCATATTTCTTGGATACTTTGAGGGCAAAGAGGGTGCCAACTCTTTATTTAATCCTTGCCTTAGAACATAACTAGCCTTTGGTGTCAGGCTGTGACTGAGATGGCTGATGTAACCATGCAGCAATCTCGAGGACAGCAGACTGCAAACCACACACAGGAGAGAGGCAAGGGGGGGGGGGGAAATAAAGATTATAAGTGAACAATGTGGATTTGTTCAGTCACCCTCGAATCAGACAAACTCCTCCCGCGGGGGGGGCTTCGCAGCACACACCCAGCCCCTGGCCCTAGCCCTGACCAGCTATTCCCAGAGTCCACTCCCCAGGCGCTTTTTACATGCAATGAGTTCAGACTCCTCGGAGAGTTTTTAGCTCGCTCACAGGAACTGCAGCAGGCAGAGCGCACCCCAGCCCAGGCCTTGCTGAGGAACGCGCCCCACAACAGCTGCAACGCCCTGTGCTGCCCTAGGGCGTGGGGCAGGAGATAATAGGCCACACATGCTCCCCCTACCTCGTGGCGCGGACTCCAGGGGCAGTGGGGGCCACCGATACCCCCCTTCGGCGTGTTGCAATGTGTGTGCAGGTCCCGGGGGCTCTCATGCAGCAGCCATGTTGATGTAACCCAGCAGCGGACACGTGGGGAGACTAGTTCCTCCTCTTACCCACAATGCTTCCCAAGCGGGGTCCAGGTTCTCATCTTAGCACCAGGCGGCGCTGTGCGATCCCTGTAAAACACTGAGGGGGGCAAAAGCGTTGTGGCAGCGGTGGGATTCGAACCCACGCCCCCGAAGAGACTGGAGCCTTAATCCAGCGCCTTAGACCGCTCGGCCACGCTACCTACATAAGAAATAATGGCTTGTATCCTTTATTCTTCTCAGCTCTTCTTTTTTCCTCTTGCTTTTCGTCGTTAACTGGTGTATGCTCAGTCATGGAGAGGTCTTTTACACAGAGATGAAGGGCTGAGCTCTTACTTCCATTATAGATCCTGTTTCAAAAGAGTCTTTTTCAGAGGGTAAGCTACTTTGCAACTCAGATACATGGTTAAGATCAAAGCAACGACCATGGTAGTAAAAAATAATATTAATTAGCAATAGGTACTAACAGTTAAATATAGCTAATCAGTATTTTTGCATTTACATTGCATTAATTAGTGGAATTATTCCACAGCCTCAAGCAGATGGAAGTTCTGAAGGGATGTCCCAATGCTCACTAATAATGTGGACATTCCACTGTTCCAATGTGGCACCTAGGTGAGGCAATGGAACATCACAATGCAGTGTCAAGCCTTCCCAAAACAATATCCCAGTACAGCATTGTAATATGATGTCACGATACATATCAGATAATTGCAATACAGTGGAACAATGCAGCTATAAGCTTCTGTGCCACAATGCACCAACCCACTGCTTTGCAACATTGCAATGCAAACATCAAACCTTTGCAACCTCACAATGTGAAGAGGTTCATTGCCCCACTAAAGAAGGCCTGCAATATGGCTGAAGAAGCCTAAATTGCAGGCCTCTCTTGCCCAGGATGTTAAATCTGTACAAATAAAAAATAGTTTGGTGGTTTTTTTCCTTTCCTGACCATCTCTTGCTAAAAAAATCAAAGCCTGGTTCATCTGAACAGCTGACCCTCTAGGCATTTAGAGTTTGATTTTTCTTCTCACTGCTGTGCAGCAAAACAGCAGTAAGTTCACCTACGTTCATAGGATTACAGCAATGTGACCCTAATGCAGGGAAACAGAAAGAAGAGGGGCGAGGTGGGGACTGGTACTTTGAGTTGGTGTCTGCTGAGGTTTCTCTGTGTCCCCATTAGTGCGCAGAGGATCTGGAGATATTTGATGTCGTTTCGGTGGCAATGGGGTGGGAGGGAAAATCTGTCTGGCTAAAGGGAGGCTGGAAAGAAGTCTGCATGGACCAAGACCACTAAATTGTAATCCACCATGATTTAAGTCTTTAATTTGGACAGTTCATTTAAGTGAAATTTTGACAATGCAACTGCCAGAGCTCTCCCACTGCATGGCCCACCTGACAGAGTCTTAAGTTCCTTTTAATGTCCTGAAATATGCCACTTCCTAGAACCAGGGTTGCCAACTTTCTAACTGCACAAAACCCAACACCCTAGCCCTGCCCCTTCCTCAAGGCCCCTCCCCCTGCCTCGCCCCTTCCTTGAGGCCCTGCCCCCACTCAATACATTCCCCCTCACTGGGCGGCTTGGTCTCCCCCACCCTCACTCACTTTCACTGGGCTGGGACAGGAGGTTGGGGTGTGGGAGGTGGTGAGGGCTCTAAATGGGGGTGCGGGGTCTGCGATGGGGCCAGAAATTAGGGGTTCAGAGTGTGGGAGGGAGCTCCAGGCTGGGGCAAGGAGTCGGGGTGTGGAAGGGGTGAAGGCTCCGGATGGGGGTACAGGCTCTGGGGTGGGGCTGGGGTTGAGGGGTTTTGATTCAGGAGGGGGCTCCAGGCTGGGTGGTGGGGCCGAGGGATTCAGAATGTGAGAGGGGGCTGCAGGTTGAGGCGGGGGGTTGGGGTGTGGTAGGTGTGAGGGCTCTGGCTGGGGGTGCAGGCTCTGGGGTGGGGCTAGGGATGAGGGGTTTGGAGTGCAGGAGGGGGCTTCAGGTTTGGGAGGACTCGGGGTTGGGGCACAGGCTTATCTCAGGCGTAGGGTGACCAGATGAAATGGACAAAATATTGGGACACATGGGGGATGCAAAAAAAAAAAACGCCGGAGTGGCCAAAGCCACAATATCAGTCAGGACGCGAGACAAAGAACTAAAAATTGGGACAGTCCCGATTTTATCGGGACGTCTGGTCACCCTACTCAGGCGGCTCCCAGTCAACAGCGCAGCAGGGGTAAGGCAGGCTGCCTGCCTGTCCTGGCTCCATGCTGCACCCCGCCACATAGGAGCCGGACCTGCTGGCCGCTTCTGGAGCGCAGTGTGGTGCTCCAGGACAGGTAGGGACTAACCTGCCTTAGCCCCACAGCACTGCCAACCAGGCTTTTAACTGCCCAGTCAGCGGTGCTGACTGGAGCCACCAGGGTCCCTTTTTGACCGGGCGTTCTGGTTGAAAACCGGACACCAAGTCACCCTACCTAGAGCCCACCTGCTTCTCTCTCCATTTGATCTCCTGTGCAACTGCCTCAGTGCCTGCCTATTCGTTTCTTTAAGTAGCCTGTTGCTTGTTTTGGGCTTTCCGGGGCGGAGGGAGGGGGCTTCTGCTTTTGCAAGCCTATATTGGCTTGTTTGTGTACGTAATTGTTCATTCGTTTAAATTAAATAGCCTGTTGCTTTTCTTTAAGTAGGTTTGTCATTGAAGTATGTGGCTTGTTTTTGGCTTGGTGATTGGCAGTAGGCGGTGCCTCCAAAATGGGATTGGCTTGTTTTGGGCTTGCTGTGAAAAGACAGTGCAGCTTTTTTTTATCTTGTAGACCTGGGAGCCTTGCGCAGTGCCGTCCCACAATTTGTCCAGTATGCCCAGTCTCTCCACTGCCACAGATCTCTTTCTCCCTGCCCTACACACTGGCCTACCTCCCGGCTTGGGGGGCCTTCTTTCTTCTTCAGGAGGTGCACCCAGTTGGAAATGACCCTGCTCTGGGCTGCTGAGGCTTTTGCCAGCCTAGCTAGACACCTGACCTGACTGAAAATATTCAGGAATAACATAATAACGGCCATACTGGGTCAGACCAAAGGTCCATCTAGCCCAACATTTTGTCTTCCAACAGTGGCCACTGCCAGGTGCTTCAGAGGGAATGAACAGTACAGGTAATCATTAAGTGATCCATCCCCTATCGCCCATTTCCAGCTTCTGGCAAACAGAGGCTAGGGACACCATCCCTGCCCATCCTGGCTAATAGCCACTGATGGACCTATTCTCCATGAATTTATCTAGTTCTTTTTTGAACCCTGTTATAGTCTTGGCCTTCACAACATCCTCTGACAAAGAAGGGTTAACCAAGATGAACACAGGTATATTGTGTTATACTTGTTTTCAAAACTGCAACAGTCTCAATACACTCTGTTTAATTCCTGAATACTCTTTAGAATCCTTTATCCCAGGTGCTGATGCCTCTTTCACTTACACTGACTTCAGTGGGGTTACTCTTCATATCCGTGTGAGAGGAGAATCAGGACTGCAGGCTTTAACTGGTAAGACAGAGTAATTCACCAGGTCCCTCATCTGCTTAACAAACTGGCAGAAGCGTACATATGGAGACAGACTGGACTACTAACCTTTCTGTGGTAAAGGACCTGTATGAAGCATGCATTTATATTTCTCAAAGATGTCTGGAAGAGTCCAGACCAACAGACAAAAGTGCAGATCAGATTTGTTCTCCCGGTAGGAAGAACCATCAACATGTACAATTTGTTCAGGATCATTATATGAAAAAGTTACTTATCTATTATTTTATACCTATTGTGCCATTCATCAGCAACTCAGCTTCATTTCACATCACAATGAAGGCTGGGCTTTTAGCGCTAGGGGCAGTTTTTGCTCAAGGACTCTAAGAGTAAAATGGGACCACTGGCATATTGACTTAAGCTGTGCTCTCATCATCTTTCCCAAACTAAAAAGGATTGGGCTGTACCATTGCCAGGAAGTGGCACTGAGGATTCAGTAAATGGCACTCTTCACGCTGAATCAACACTGACCCAGTGTTCCAGCATGGTATTGGGAGCATACTGTCCTTCAGAAGAGATGTATAACTGAGACCCTGACTGAGTTGTTATTAAAGATCGATGGATTTCTTGTACAAGTAGAGTTGTTAGCCCTACTCCCCTGCCAAATGAGTAATTACATTCTGCCTCCCTGCATTCCTAGGTGTTTGGACTAGGGGAAGGAGCAGGCAGGCCTGTGGTGCGTAATAAGATTACAGTTTGTTTGCCTCTTCTTTCCTTAAGCAATCTCTTAAAGTGTTACAGATCAAGAATAGTTTTAATAGAACACATAGCCCTGCATGGATTATTCAGTCCGGTGGAATGGAGGCTATGCTGTCTTTTTGCTGTCCGAAAATCAGTGCAGGAAGAGATACTACACAGTATCTGATCTGTAATCCTGAATTGCTTTTAGGATTACAACAAGCTCAGGATGAAATTTCCTCAGGTTTTGAGTGTAGTGGTACTTTACAATAGGTACCTAAGGCAAACCTATTGCTCAAAGAGGGATATAAAGCCCCACATTCTCTCAGACAAGGGTTATGTGATCAAAGTTTCTCCTTCCTTGCACAGACACAGCAGAGCTCTTTACCTACCATGAATCTTCTTCAAATGTGACTGCAAAAATAGAGTACTGGATGTGAAGTGTGGGTTACACTGGTAGAATTATGCTGAAGAAACTTGCATAGTAAATCTATGTCTGGGTCAAGCCATGTCTATTAGTTCCTTGGGTTGTTCACCACCAAATTCACTTGTAAAGATCATGCCCCTAGTTTATCTTTTTCCATACTATGCTCCCATCTGCCACCACCAGTGTACAAATTAGCCCCTGAATGGTAAATCAGTGAAAGTTACATTACTTTACCACTCACACCCATTGGCCAACTTAGTCCACCCTTTATGGTATGCCACCATTGAATTTAGAACAAAGACTTCCATGGAAGATGCAATCTTCACCAAATCTGAATTTTTAAAAGCCAAGGAAATTTCATCCTCTTGATAC